CACATTCTTCCCTGAAGGTTTCTCCTCCTTGCCCGTCGGGTTCTTGACCATCTTGAATTTTTGGTGATTGCGAACGGTAACGTCAAAACCGTCCAAGGTGTCCTCACTTTGGTCCTTGCGCTTCACCTCAATGTAGCTCAAGCGGTGTTCAGTGATTCGCTTGGATTTCTCCAGCATCACCAAGAGTTTGTACAAGCTCAGGGTAGTCACTGAAGTGGCATCTTGGCGAACTGTGGAATCATCTATCTGACACAGGCTTGTGTCAGAAGTCACATTCCACTTCACTGCTGGTCCTGCGTCACTGGTGCTGACATAGGTGCCTGTTCCAAAACCACCAAGTTGGCTATGGCAAGGGACCAACTTGTCCTTCTTGCTGAGCAAATAGATTTTCCCAGACTCTGTCCTGACGACGTTGATGTCGGGAATCTCTGATGCCACTTCTTCGGACATGATCTCACTTTCTTTGACTTTTCAGGATCAGCGCCCGAATCTAGATTGGAAACACCAGATTCTTGCACAACCTGGGCCTGTTGGCCAGGCACGAACTTGCACAGCAGCGAGCCAGCAGCGGTCTTCATCTGGTTTGATGATGACGCGAGCTCCATCACGGCAGCACACTTCGAGTTTCAACTGGTCGAACTTTCCAAGGGCTGCAGCAGCTCCCGGAACTTGATCCATTTCCGACTGGGTCAACTTTGGCGCGGTGCCCTTGAAAGCCAAACCACCAATTTCGAACTTGTTGTCGAGCCAGTGGTCGGTCAGCTCTGTTTGCACCTCCAAAGTCTGAGTCATCAAAGAAATTCAAGCTCAGGTAGTGAAGCTTCTCTGCATCAAGGCTCCCGATCTTCCCGCCTTTCATCCTCAGCTCCAGCACCTCAGGTGGTTCAATGCATCGACTAGTAACCATAATATAAAAAAATGTTTTTGTTGAGTTGGTATCGGATGATCCACAAAAGCCCGTGAAAACTACCAAAAAAACAAGTTTCCCTAAGGCTGAAATATCAGTGAAAACCTCTTGGATCAAATCCCAAAAGTAAAAAACAAGGCTCATGGAACTTAATCCAAAAATTGACATGGATAGAAATGACCTCCACCTACTACTATCTCAAACTTAGGCACTGCGCTTCCGGCATCCTCCACATAGGGGATCAGATTGACAATCAGCAACGGGCCACGGAATGACTCCTTGTCGAGCTTCAACAGGGACTGAACCAGAGACTGGTGGATCAAAGGGCCCTTTTGGGTCTTTCCCCCAACAGTATTCCAGAATCCACATCGAGAGGCTCTGGCAGAAGCAAGTCACGCTGCCTGGGCAGAGTCACATTGTTGAAGTCCATGGGTCTGCCCGCGCATGCCAACTCTGAAGACATGAAAATGTTGTCCTTGAGGGCACCGCCGTTGAGAACCAAACGGCCCATAGACCATCGCCTGATCCCGTCAGGGCACAATCTTTTCGGCACTACACTCACTTGCGCACCTGAAATTCACCCACTTACGCACCTGGGAAATTCACTCACTTACGCACCTGGAAAATCACTTGCTTACGCACCTGGGTCTCCATTCTATACGTAAATTACCAGCAAAACAAAGAGACACGACACCTTAAGGGTTTATATCTTGTTGCACTTGATGTATAGGAAGAGACACCTTTAGGGTTTATACCTGGTTGCACTTGATGTAAGAAGAGCCACGACACCTTGAGGGTTTATATCTTGTTGCACTTGATGTAAGAAGAGCCACGACACCTTTAGGGTCTATATCTTGTCTCACTTGATGTAAGAAGAGCCGCGACACCTTTAGGGTTTATATCTTGTTGCACTTCATGTAAGAAGAGCCACGACACCTTTAGGGTTTATATCTTGTTGCACTTTATGTAAGAAGAGCCACGACAACTTTAGGGTTTATATCTTGTTGCAATTGATGTAAGAAGAGCCCCGACACCTTTAGGGTTTATATCTTGTTGCACTTGATGTAAGAAGAGCCACGACACCTTTAGGGTTTGTATGTTGTTGCACTTGATGTAAGAAGTGCCACGACACCTTTAGGGTATGTATGTTGTTGCATTTAATGAAAGCAAAGCCGCGACACCTTTAGGGTTTATATCTTGTTGCACTTGATGTAAGAAGAGCCACGACACTTTTTTGTTTTATATCTTGTCGCCCTTTATGTAAGAAGAGCCACGACACCTTTAAAGTTTATATCTTTCTGCACTTAATGTAAGGAGAGCCACGACACCTTTAGGGTCTATACCCTGCTGCACTTGATGTAAGAAGAGCCACAACACCTTTAGGGTTTATATCTTGTTGCACTCAATGTCAGGAGAGCCACGATACCTTTAGGGTTTGTATCTTTTTGCACTTGATGTAAGAAGAGCCACGACACCTTTAGGGTTTGTATGTTGTTGCACTTGATGTAAGAAGTGCCACGACACCTTTAGGGTATGTATGTTGTTGCATTCAATGAAAGCAAAGCCGCGACACCTTTAGGGTTTATATCTTGTTGCCCTTGATGTAAGAAGAGCCACAACACCTTTAGGGTTTATATCTTGTTGCACTCAATGTCAGGAGAGCCACGACACCTTTAGGGTTTATATCTTGTTGCACTTGATGTATAGGAAGAGCCACGACACCTTAAGGGTTTATATCTTGTTGCACTTGATGTAGGAAGAGCCACGACACCTTGAGGGTTTCTATCTTGTTGCACTCAATGTCAGGAGAGCCACGATACCTTTAGGGTTTGTATCTTTTTGCACTTGATGTAAGAAGAGCCACGACACCTTTAGGGTTTGCATGTTGTTGCACTTGATGTAAGAAGTGCCACGACACCTTTAGGGTATGTATGTTGTTGCATTCAATGAAAGAAAAGCCACGACACCTTTAGGGTTTATATCTTGTTGCACTTGATGTAAGAAGAGCCACAACACCTTTAGGGTTTATATCTTGTTGCACTCAATGTCAGGAGAGCCACGACACCTTTAGGGTTTATATCTTGTTGCACTTGATGTATAGGAAGAGCCACGACACCTTTAGGGTTTGTATCTTGTTGCACTTGATGTAGGAAGAGCCACGACACCTTGAGGGTTTCTATCTTGTTGCACTCAATGTCAGGAGAGCCACGATACCTTTAGGGTTTGTATCTTGTTGCACTTGATGCAAGAAGAGCCACGACACCTTCCGGTTTTTTTAAAATGTTGTTGCACTTGATGTAAGAAGAGACACGACACCTTTAGGGCTTATATCTTGTTGCACTTCATGTCAGAAGAGCCACGACACCTTTAGGGTTTATACCTTTGTTGCACTTGATGTAAGAAGAGCCACGACACCTTTAGAAGTAGAAGTAGGATGCACAAGTAGGAATAGAAGTAGAAGTAGAAGTAGAAGCAGTAGTAGAAGTAGAAGTAGATGTAGGAGTAGAAGTAGAAGTAGAAGTGGAAGTAGAAGTAGATGTAGGAGTAGAAGTGGATGTAGAAGGAGAAGTAGAAATAGATGTAGAAGTAGAAGTAGAGCTGAAAGTAGAAGTGGAAGTAGAAATGAAGGTGAAAGTAGATGTTGAAGTGGACGTAGAAGTAGAAGTGGAAGTAGAAGGAGAAGTAGAAATAGATGTGGAAAAAGAAGTAGAAGGACAAGTAGGAATAGAGCTGAAAGTAGAAGTGGAAGTAGAAAGAGAGGTGCAAGTAGAGGTAGAAGTGGAAGATTCTCAGGTGCACAAGCGAGACGATTCTCAGGTGCACAAGCGTGTACCATGCCATCTTTTCTAAGCTGATGGTAAGGTTGAAATCTGAACAGATGGTAGCTGCTATTCTATACCCCCTGCTCAACCGAAAAAGTTATTAAATACCCTATACACTTATCAACTGAAAAAGATGTTGCGGAAAATAGCTTATTGGTATTTAAAGTCAGCACTTTTTTGGGTACCCCTCCTGTAAACATGGTTCTTCTCATGAGACTGAACATCGAAGTTGGTTTAAGATGTTTAAGCCCAAATAGATGGGAGAAATTATCAAAAAACACATATTATGTAGTGTGACTCTTATTTGCTGATCACTTTCTCACATTTGATTTATGTTGATTTGAGGGTGCCCCGGGAACAAACCTTGCCTCGCGGCATCGGGTGAGGCTAATGCTAGTAGCGATGTCCACAATTTCCCTCTGTGCCATGAAATTGCCCCTCTAAAATGACTCGTCGTCCATGCTCCCGCATAAGATTGAAGTTGGAAAGAACTGCCCCGGAGTGGGAGGCCACACCTGGGGAAGAAACACGGGGATTTCCAAATGGTTCCGTTATGATAAAATCTGTTTCACAATAATGTTGACCAGTATATGTTGAAGTTTGAAACATTAATCAAGATGAGGCTGGAACCTTGAGCTTCATATAGATGAGTCCCAAATCCTCCACGGTTGTGCCCAAGTCCATGAACCCAGCTTTCTGAAGAAGCTCCAAGCTAGTCTGGAACAGTTTGCCCCTGTGGGCCCAAGCCTGTTGGGCCACTGACCTGAAAGTGCCCCCTTTGAGGCCTGGCCATCCCTTCACCCCCATCTCAGGCTCGCCATCTGCCGCAGAGTCTGGATCGACGTGCCGAAGGCTGTGCACATGGTGGACCCAATCCCTCAAACCCAGCTGGACTTTGGGGACATCAGCAATGGAAGTAGCATGGGATGGTCCAGCCGTCCTAGCTCTTTTCAGCTTGGGCGGCATGACTGAAAACCTACCAATTTACCTGCCTATGCGGCTGGCCTTGATTGAAAATGCTATATCGGTTTTCAGATTGACAGCTCAACAGGAGGAAGGGGTATCTCCTAGATTATACTTAGTCAACTGGAACAATCAATCCAGGAATGTATTCAATGGTGTTTCAGTGATTGTCATCGGCCCCATGTGGCTGCAAGCAAAAAGAAAGATCCAGATTGTTTTCCCCGATGTAGATGTGCCAAGGATTGTCAAAATCTAAGCCCGGAATGCCAAGGGAACCTCATAGTCTAGTTTCCGGATACCTCTCAGAGTCACACAGGTTTCCAACGTGACAGCAATGTGAAGAACGCCGCAATGTTGATGGGAATAGAAAACCTGGGCAACACACATGGATCCCTTGATGTAGAATCAATGCTATGGCTCCCTAATTCTCAAATACCCACTGCATCCTGATTCCGATCTATATTATATCAAAATCAACAACATCTAACATCCACAAAGTAAAACTAATGAAATATGTCTCTATATTGTATATGATTATGATATACTATGGTTTCTGGGGAGGGACGCATCGCCAGCCATTCTCTTGATGTTCCTGGGGTCCTTCAAGTGCATCTTGAAGCGGTAAAAATCAGGCTCTGCCAGACCCTGTAGCGCAGCATGATCCTGGAATCAATACATTCGTTGTGGGATGGAGTGTATGAAAAGAGGATGTTCTTTGCATGACATTGCATAGATCCTGTTTGACAAGTATAAGAAATCAAAGTCCTGGGCAGTCAACACTCGCCAAGTCTTTGTGAGGACATACTTCCCATTGGGAATTGTGCAGCATGCAATCCATGGGTTCGATCGAACATAGCGTTGTCGGGTGAAGTTCTGATCCTAGGGCCATGTGAAATTGAATAAGAATGAGGTTCTAACACTTCCAAAACATGTTGAATATCAAATTTGGTTGACATGTTGATCTCTTGAATCTACGGTTTAGGCCACCTGTATCACAAGAGGTATCTGCATGGGGTCAATCTTGTACTTCTGTTTGATCTCCACCACAGCGGTTGCTAGTATGCACAATTCCCGCTCAGACAGGTCCACTCCCAGTGCAGCCCCAGACTTCAGGAAGGAAAGACATTCATCCGTAGCTACCTTGGTGGAGGAGAATGAAATGACCAGTACCCCAACATATAGAAGTTCATTCTTTATCATTATATTAAATATCAATGAAGGTAACCGTTTAGTGACATGTCCATGATGAGTAACACCAACTAAGTCAGTTACCTTCCCCAAAGATTCCCTGATTTTCTGGTAGTCCTTGCGCCACTTGCCATCAGGAGCCGCCTTTCGGTCTGACACGCCCTTCACCTTGTCCTTCTTCTCGGGCAAGGCCATGGTGTCCAGACAAGTGGAAAGAGGACGTGCACGGCATTGAAACAACCTGAGAAGCAAGGAGTTGGAAGTAGAGTCAGAGAATATCTCCAAAAAAATGAAATTGGGGCCTATCCTTTAAGAAATTGCTTTCAAGATTGATTGTGTCTAAAAATTATACATAAACTGTTTTGCCAAATGACTTCATGTCTGCTTCAAGATCTCTGGGGTGACATATGCATTTATCCTTTCTCAAGTATAGCATCCACACACGGTTGCCAGACTGGGGAAGGCCAAATTCACAAGAGTTCGCCAGGATAGAAGCACATATGTAGGCTTTGGACAACCGTTTGTTTTGAATGTCCAGAGGTCTGGTATAACCATCCTGCTTGCGATTCTGAACCATTTGACGAACATTTTCCAAGGCAATTGCCTCTGGATGAAACCTTTCAATGTAACCCATGGCAGCATGGTATCCACTTCCAGTCTTAGCTTCAGCTTCTCAAAGGGTTCCGGGCACACATTGAGTGCTGACAGGCTCACGCATGGGTAGCCGGCCACGAAAACATCCACCTGCCAGGTGGGCCAAAGCGATGGAGACTGGTAAAAACTGATACTCAGATTTCCATAAATGGGGATACCCAGAAATAGATGGTTTTGGGATGTTTTGAATTGAAAAAATGAACTTGATGATGCAGGGCCGGGGGTACCTTCACTTTTAAATTAGAAACCGCCATATGTCACTTGATGTGGAATCTTTATTGTTGAACTAACACCTCACCTCCGGGACTGGTGAAGGATTCCCGTCTCTGTTGTAATCAGCCCCATACCCTGTAGGGAAGTCTTTCATGTCCATGAAGATTGGCATCCTGCGTCCAAAGTTCTCACGAAGAAGGGCTTGTCGCTCTGGGGCCGCTTCGCACATGAAGGTGTGTTCCACCTAGGGCCAGGGCCCCAAATAATTTGATGGATTAGGCTCTATAGATTGACCCTTACATGCAAAAAAATGCATCCAGTGCTCAGTCAAATAAAAAATGCTATTTGTTGCGTAGGCACCTGAACACATACGCATGGGAAATATTCTTTCCAGAGTTCATTGAATATCTCTGACACCATCTCTTGCGTTCCCCTACCTGAACACATGGTACCGACCTTGATCTTCCCACCCCTGGTTGAGGCAACATCATTCATAGTGTCCAAAAGACGGGATCGCATAGATCGAAAAGGCTCCGCACGCCGCACACAAAGCATTCTCCACCACATCAGCCACCTAGGTATTCTTGAATCAAATATGTCACAACGAATAAAGCCCTGGGTTTGGCGCATTTAAAAGCTGGAAAGGAAGGGATTTGAAATTTCAAACGTTTTCTTTTCAAGTTCCAAATCAAGCGACTCCCATTGTCGGATGTGGAAACTGTGGTAACATAGCCTGTTTCTCCGGACTTGCTATGGTAAGCTCTGCATGCTCAACATCACTCTCCAGCAGGATTTCTTGGTCACCGCTACCCAGATGGGACGATGGTCTCTTCAGTACCGGCCTGAGAATGGCTGGGCATGTCTAACTCTTCAGTTTTCAAAAGGGATTTTCAATTCTGGTGAATACTTGTGACAGAAACAACAACCCATGAAAGACAAGTAACCAAATGAGTTGAAGATTGGTGGGTTTCAAAGTATTATCTACTCACATTAAGGTTACTGCGCTAGTGACACCCATGTTGTGTTCCACCCCTGGTTTTTTCGGGGGGGATCACGTGGTTCCAAGGAAATGTAGCCTAGAGATTTGAATGAATGGGCTTTCTCCCATACAAAACGGACGGGTCTCATGGGTTTGGCACCCAACATATATCAGACCAAGAGACGAAGAAGGGCTCTCAGGAAAAATCTCGGGCTGGTGAGCTGGTGGTGGGTCCTGCCAGCAGATGCGCCACGAATGTGAATGGACTATAAGTTTGTCTACTCCAAGTCTCAGATTATGGGTTTTTCAGTTGGATGTCTAGTGTAGATATTGCACCCCCACAGCATCATTATAATCACTACCATCAACATCTCAACTATCACCATCATATTCATCAAAATCATCGTCGTCATCATCATCATCATCCTCATCATCAACAGCCTCCTCATCATCATCATCATCATCCTCATCATCATCATCGTTATCATCGCCAGCACCGTTATCATTATCATCGCCGCCATCATCAACATCATCATCATCATCATCATCATCGTCGTCGTCGTCGTCGTCATCGTCGTCATCATCATCACCATCATCATCATCACCTTCATCATAGTGACCATCGTCATCGTCGTCGTCATCGTCGTCGTCGTCGTCGTCGTCGTCATCATCATCATCATCATCCCAGCTGTTAGCATCACAACCATGACCCAAATCTATCTCCAACCCGAGGGTTTACACAAAAGCAAGGCTTGAAGCTTTCTTTGAAAGAGGGAACAATAAATTGTTCAGGGACAAAGGCATTCATTATCATTCATGCCGACAAAAAAGGTCTACACCGAGAGTTGACATGTTTGATACTCCTGGGCTTGCTAACTACCGACAACCAGACCACAGAACAGATGGGACTTTTTCTCCGAGCGAAACATTATGCATCAACGATCTGCAAGTGCGAGGTCTATGGGCCCCTCGTCTTCATCACTGTTACTTTCCGAATCTTCACTCTCATCATCTAAACCCACATCGGTGATCTTCTGCCTGTGAGGAGGCACATACGTGCCAGGGGCACCTGGCAAAGCTGAATCATCCCATCGATAACTCTAAGATGTTGTAGGTACAGGGGCGCTGAACCTGTGCCAGATTTCCCTGGCACCATCCAACCAGGTACTCTGCAGCCTCGTTGGTGATATCACGCTTGCGAGCACAAACAGGCGCTTGCCTCAGTATCATTTTTTTGACTTTCTCGGAAATGGGCCGCAAATCAGCCACACCAGCTGGGGGAGAAATGCCTCGTCTAATCTCTTCAACCCCAGATTCTGAAACCACGGCTGCAATCATAGCAATGGATCGGTCCCCAAGCCAACGTTTGGTATACATCATGATATCTCCTGCCGACTTTGGAAGCCGTTGGGGCAAATCTTTGAACTCTGCACATCGTTCAATGACATCCTGCCCGCAAATCGGACCTACAACAGAATCGCAAATAGTGCACCCTTCCTTTGTTTGTGGTTAGCTGTATGCAACTCAGCCCTTCAGTTAAAAAAATGCATATTCCCAAGTTAATGGTTCAGCTAGATTCAGAAAATTAAACATATATATATACATATACAAAGTTGGAGTAAAGAATCTGATACCTTTCAGCTTGACAGCAAGCTGTTGCACCCAAGCTTTCCAACAGGCTGTTTGGTCGAGGATGGAAGCATACACGTGTCTGCTGCGAATATGGTTTTTCAAACGCTGGCCAGAACCACCATTGATGAGGTCAACCAATCGTTCTGGAGAATCAAACCGACCCAGAGCCAAGAGTGCTGATAAGGACCCAAAAGCCTGATCAATATCCTCATGGCCTCACCAATTGTGCATCGATCCACTATACCCTTTAATCGACTGTGACTAAAATCAAGACCCTAAAATTTTAAGAACCAATCAAAGGCGCTATGACCAGTTCTGAGAAAGCCACATGCGGTGGCTTTGAATACTCGCAAAATCACTAGCAAGATCATTGCCGCTGCTACAAACTGGTTCTTCCCCTCGCGGAAGCAATTGTCTTGCTGCAGGTGCAGCACCAACGGCAATTTGCTGTGATGTTCCCGGAGGCTGGACAGGGCTAGAAAGAGTAACTCCAGCTGGGTCGTGGAATCTTTACGGACATCTTCATTACAAATCGAGAATCGTAGCTGATGACCATGTATCCAAAATCCGCTGCAATGCAGTGTTGGCCTATACAGGGCCTCTAAGGCCTTGCTTGGGCGTCCTTTCACTTTAGGACAACGGAATTTTGACTGGTCCATGCCGTCTGCAATGCAGCAAAGCAAGGATGATGACAAGGAAGTTGTCAACCTGCAGATTAGTTGGGATTGATACACAACAACCCATTGGGAATTTGATTTTTCTTCGTTAGTGCAGTTCATTGACCCAAGGCAAGCTTCCAAACAACATCGAATCATAAACATTCGTAAACTTTGATCATGAAAGATGAGTCGAGAGACAGTCCATCACCGGTACGGGTATCACCTTAAGGGACCGGCTCCAAACATACCCATTGTAAAATGTGAGGGCCAAATTTAAATAAAACATGATAGAGCATAAACTCTGAACCATTACATGTCCAAGTAAATTACTTTACTTCGAGTGAGCCCCACCCTGGTATTTCAAGTCATATATTCTGACATATATTTTGACATTTTACCTAACATTCTATCTGACATCTATTCTGATATTCTATCTGGCATATTTTCCAGCATTTTATCTGGTATATATTTTGGCGTTCTATCTGGCATATATTCTGGCATTCTTTGTAGCATTCTTTCTCGCATATATTTTGGCATTCTATGTGGCATATATATTCTGGCAGTCTATCTGGCATATATTCTGGCAGTCTTTCTGGCATGTATTCTGGCATCCATCTGGCCGCTGAGGTCCAGCGGTGCCCACTGAGCTCGGAAGGTCCCAGGTTGAGGTGCAGCGGTGCCCACTGGGCTCGGAAGGTCCCTGGTTGAGGTCCAGCGGTGCCCCACTGCGCTCAGAACCTTGCGGTTGAGGTCTAGCCGTGCCCACTCAGATCGGTGCCCACTGCGCGCGGAAGTTGGCGAAGAGCGAAGAGTTGGCAAGGCAGCAGTGGACGTGGAAGTGGAGGCAGAGGTGGCGGAGGAGAAGGAGGAGGACGAGGAGGAGGTGGAGAAGGAGGAGGAGGAGAAGAAGAAGGAGGAGCCGGAACAGCCGTTGCCATCTAACAACCCTCACCTGGCAGGTGGGGAATAAAAATAATAATGGATTTGGCCCAAGCACGGAACCAAGAGTTCGACAGCGCTCTGTGAGTCCATTAAGCCTGTCGATCTATCCACTGGGCCAACACATGTTGAGAATAGTTCCGTTAAGCCAACTCACGTTCATCGGCATTCTTAGCCTTACACATCATTTTTTTCCACTTGCTGCACTGATTGCACTCAGCATGTTCCCCCTTGCTACGAAATTTCAAATGGTCCTTGGCAATGGATCGAAATACTTTCATACATGCACTGAAGCTGGCATGTTGGCGACCTGATGCAGTTTCAAACGCTAGGCTTCCGGTGTTGCAAAAAACGACGGGGCCCTTCGAAGGACCCTGGACCGATGGACTGAAGGTGGGGCATGTTGTGGTAGGCCTCACGGTTTTGCATGAATGTCCCCACATAGCGAACCAAGAATTCTTCCTCATCATCACCTTCAATCTCTTCTTTCAAATATCCACTTGGCATACGAAACTTGGTGGGAAGGACTTCAGCAGCGGAATGGTAAAGCAACCAAAGGAAACACAGTACATACTGCCACTTTTCACGAGGTGACGCTCTCATGGACAAACCTACTCCTGGGTGTCTTGGAACCTTTGGCCAGGCCCGGTTCGTGAAAACTGCCTCTCCCTTTCGCAGATTCTGCAAAATACAGGTGCCAATCCCCATGAGTCTCTGATGCGCGCTGGTACAAACAGTTTTGCCAAGTAGGGTTTGCTGGTCGGTGGAACGCTTTCTGTATGGGCGACTGCTTGCACAAGGAACCTCTGGCAAGGATGAATCTGATTCAAAAAACACTTCGTTGCCATCATTGGCATCAGAATCACTGGAAGTGGCGAAAATTTGGCCACCACATTCTGAATCAGACTCTGCAAAGATCTCATTGCCAGAAGGCTCAATAGGTTGGCTATCAAGGCTCTCGAGGCGGTGAAAGGGAATGTTGTAAGTTGTAAGTATTGCAAACCCCACTTCCTGCCAAACACCATGTGGTTCTAGGCCATATTTACTTGATTTGAACGTTACCGGAGACTGATATAGGAAAAGGTTGGGTTCTTAATGGTTGGAAACTTGAAACACTTCGGGAAACATTGTGTTTAGCAAACACGGCCTTGTCTTTGCCGTCCATGGATTGAAACTTCTCTCTGACAGCAAGAAGAGGTCTCTCCATACCTTGAAACTGAATAAAACAGTTCCCAGCCAAACAACGGCACCGTTGCTGGAGCAAGTCCTCCAAGTTGATGATTCTTCCATCGGTCTGTCTGTGTTTTTTTGCTGGGGGGTGGTCGCACTTCATTATCCGAGCCAGAGTCCAAGAGGATGTCCATGGCTCTTGCTGTGGCACCCAAATTACATAAAGCACATGATTGTTGGCTCTGGGCTAGTGTCATAGCGATTGGGCATTTTAAGAAGTTCTTTGTGGCCTAAGTGCTGGGCATGTTAAAAGATTACTTTACTTCGAGTTACTGGCAAATCTTCTGGCATTTGATCTGACATATCTTCTGTCATTTTATCTGGCATATCTTCTGGCATTCTATCTGGCATATCTTCTGGCATTCTACCTGGCATATCTTCTGCTATATGTTCTGGCATATCTTCTGGCAGTCTATCTGGCATATCTTCTGGCATATCTTCTGACATTTTATCTGGCAAATCTTCTGGCATATGTTCTGGCAAACATTCTGGCACTTTATCTGGCATACCTTCTGGCATTCTATCTGACATACTGGCATTCTATCTGGCATATCTTCTGGCATTCTATCTGGCAAATCTTCTGGCATTCTATCTGGCAAATCTTCTGGCGTTCTATCTGGCAAACATTCTGGCACTTTATCTGGCATACCTTCTCGCATTCTATCTGGCATACCTTCTGGCATTCTATCTGGCATATCTTCTGGCATTCTATCTGGCAAATCTTCTGGCATTCTATCTGGCAAACATTCTGGCACTTTATCTGGCATACCTTCTCGCATTCTATCTGGCATACCTTCTGGCATTCTATCTGGCATATCTTCTGGCATTCTATCTGGCATATCTTCTGGCATTCTATGAGGGGGCAAATCTTATCTGGCATATCTTCTATCTGGCGTTCTGGCTTCTGGCGTTCTATCTGGCAAACATTCTGGCACTTTATCTGGCATACCTTCTCGCATTCTATCTGGCATACCTTCTGGCATTCTATCTGGCCGGCAGAGGCAAACATTCTGGCACTTTATCTGCGGGCATGCTCAGCTCCAGCTCGGAGGGTCTCACTGAGCTCGGAGGGTCCCAGGTTGAGGTCCAGCGGTGCTCACTGAGCTCGGAGGGTCCCAGGTTGAGGTCCAGCGGTGCTCACTGAGCTCGGGCGGTCCCAGGTTGAGGTCCAGCGGTGCTCACTGAGCTCGGAAGGTCCCAGGTTGAGGTCCAGCGGTGCCCAGTGCGCTCAGACCCTTGCAGTTGAGGTCCAGCAGTGCCCACTGCGTGCGGAACTTGGCGAAGAGCTTGGCGAAGATGGCAAGGCGGAAGTGAACATGGAAGTGGAGGCAGAGGTGGTGGAGGAGAAGGAGGAGGAGAAGAAGGAGGAGAAGAACAACTCTGATAAAATCTAACAACCCTCACCCGGCAGGTGGGGAAAAACACATTCTAGATTGAAATAATCCGGATGATCATCAAATTAAATTGTTCAGTGGACATGACATGTCCTGGGAAAAAAATCCCACTTGAGCCAAGTAGAACGAAACAGTGGGTCACAATCTTTTACTTAGAAGACAACCGACCCATGCACCACAGCCCAGTTTGGTCCTTGGGCTCGCTTCGCAGGCTGCCGGGCGCCGCAGCGCTTTGCTTGCCGGCTTGCCAGCTTTCGACGATGGGCGCTTCATGACGCCCCAACCCACCCTCTTATCATTGTGCAGGGGGGTATCCAGAGCCGAAACTTTTAGGAGTAGTGGTCACAACATTATCGGTCAAGATAGCTCGCAACGCCCCAAAACTTGAAACAACCATCTCCCATGAAACAACTAACTCCCACAATAATTCCTTTGTAGTACAAAGTACTACTGGGAAGTGCTTTGTGCAAGCTTTGTAGTACAAAGTAGTATATACTGGGACGTACTTTGTGCAAGGTCTGTAGCACAAAGTAGTACTGAGACGTACTTGTGCAAGCTTCGTAGTACAAAGTAGTACTGGGAAGTGCTTTGTGCAAGCTTTGTAGTACAAAGTAGTAATGGAACGTGCTTTGTGCAAGCTTTGTAGTACAAAGTAATAATACTGGGAAGTGCCTTGTGGAAGCTTTGTAGTACAAAGTAGTACTGGAACGTGCTTTGTGCAAGCTTTGTAGTACAAAGTAGTACTGGGAAGTGCCTTGTGGAAGCTTTGTAGTACAAAGTAGTACTGGGAAGTGCTGTGTGCAAGCTGTGTAGTACAAAGTAGTACTGGGAAGTGCTTTGTGCAAGCTTTGTAGTACAAAGTAGTACTGAGAAGTGCTTTGTGCAAGCTTTGAAGTACAAAGTAGTACTGGGTGCAAGCTTTGTAGTACAAAGTAGTACTGGAACGTGCTTTGTGCAAGCTTTGTAGTACAAAGTAATATATAATGCTGGGAAGTGCCTTGTGGAAGCTTTGTAGTACAAAGTAGTACTGGGAAGTGCTTTGTGCAAGCTGTGTAGTACAAAGTAGTACTGGGTGCAAGCTTTGTAGTACAAAGTAGTACTGGAACGTGCTTTGTGCAAGCTTTGTAGTACAAAGTAGTACTGGGAAGTGCTTTGTGCAAGCTTTGTAGTACAAAGTAGTACTGGGACGTGCTTTTTGCAAGCTGTGTAGTACAAAGTAGTACTGGGAAGTGCTTTGTGCTAGCTTGGTAGTACAAAGTTGTACTGGAACGTGCTTTGTGCAAGCTTTGTAGTACAAAGTAGTACTGGGAAGTGCTTTGTGCAAGCTTTGTAGTACAAACTATTTCGGAAAGGCTTTTCTGTCTAAATGCATCTGTGTCTCAAGTGTCCATGTGCAAAAACTTTATGCGCCCAATGTTCTTTTTGTGCAAGAGACTTCTCTCTGACAGTAAGAGGTTTCTGGCGTGCAGAACAGCTAAGATGAGTTGAGACGTACTTCGAGGAGATGAGAAAGGTTGATCAGTGCTTGGATGAGATGAAAACAGTTGAGAAGAACTTACTTTGATGACATGTGAGAAGAGATGGGATGAGATGAGAAGAGCTGAGATGACGTGAGAAGAGCTCACGTGATTTGAGGTGAGATGAAGTGTCGAGTGCGAAGTGCAAGTGTGAAGTGCGAAGTGCAGGGTGTGAAGAGTGCAGTGTGAAGTGTGAGGAAAGTCTTCGCTTGGCGTTGCATTGCACCGGGGTCGCGCGCAGGTCATGTTCTTGGACAACAACATTGCAACAGCTTCGCACAAAGCACGCACGTACGGGCCTGGCTGGCGCACGGCGCACGCAAATTCTATAGATGAAAAAGGTCTTATAGTATATCCCTAAGGCAACTTCCGCCCCGCCTCGTGCGGGTACTACTGGAAACAGAGCTCTCACTTGCTCCCTCCAATTGTGCCAGCTGGACCAGGGCTGCACTTTTCTCCGCTCCATCACCAATGGCCTGACAATCGGCCAAACTCTGCAACCCTGGGGGAAGGACTCGAAGTGGTCTGACGGTCAGGAGCAGCATGCGCGCATGTACACTTCATTGTTTTAATGTGTCTGAAGCAAACTTCATATGCAGGTACAGCAGATCGATAGACAAATCAGTCATCAAGTACATATGCCGCATACTGTCTAGCTTAATGGCCTAATATGTCTAGCATAATGGCTTATGCGTAATTTTGCTGCACAGTTTGCTGATTCAAATTGATCAAATTAGTTCCATCCTGTGGCAAAGTGATCAGTTCCATCCTGGACTTGCTCAAGAGTCTTGTGACGCACCACCGGCAAAGCTATGTGCGGTGTGGTCCTTGGACGAGGAAGCATATTTAGCATATTTAGCATAATTGGCCTAGTTAGCATAGTTGCAGACCAAGATGCTTTGAGTTTTTGCAAGACTGATTGATACCGACTGTTTGATTTCAAAGTTCTAGGGCAAGATTCTGGCCTATCTGGCTTTTATAAGGCTGCACCCGCATTCATTCATTTATTACGCAGAAAACAAACACAAAATGTCATGATATGCCGCGATACAATCTGTGACGCGCAAGGAAAATCGCAACTTTTCTCAGCAAATGCGCATGCTGCACATGGATCATTGGCTTTGTAGCGGTGGCTTGGCCGAAAGCCGCAAAGTCCCTGTGTTGGCTATCACTTCCAGAACCTGTGAGTCAAAAACACAGACGAAGCCCGGATTGTGCCAGCAACCTGTTCAAAGCCTTTCAATTTTTCCCCCTTCCTGCATTTCAAGATTACACCTCAGAAGACTGACACTCAAATAATGAAACTTTATGCCAAGCTGCTCTGACTTCAAGTTCTTGACCAACAGACACCTGGCGGTTCAGCACTTGTTCTTACCGTGGCTGAGGAAAAACTAACGAAACTTCATTTCATTCCCGTGGGAGTGCTTGCTAGAGTGGCACGCGCAAAATTTGGCAAGTTCAAACGCCACTGAAATTGACACAGACCCTGATACCGAAGACAGATGGACGAAGGGACAAAATCTGACTCAAGACGTGCTGTCTATAGCATTGGTGTCGCTTTCCGCCAAAGGCCCCGAACCTTCTAAAGGGAGAGGAGTGCAAAACAAAACTCATCAAATACAAACTGTTTGAATTCCTCCTATGTTCCAGCTACATCCTACGTAGATGCACGGCACGAGTTGGAGTGAAATCTCTTTGAACGTGAAACAGAATCATATGAGTCATTTTTTGGCGTTGAACCGCACAAATGCTTGGACAAACTTGGACATGTCTTGAGATGTGGAATTTATTTCCAAAAAAATGAATGCAATTCATCTACTTCCCGGGCACCCGCAAACACAGGTGCCTTCTCAGGGGAAGGCACAGCAGCTTTCGCCAGCTTTCCTTGAACCTCAGCTCCTGATTTCAATTGATTTTTTTAAATGCAGGCATGGCCATTCTTCGCGAATAAAGAAATTACGTTCGCGAAACTTTCGCGAATTCCATGTTTATCTTTCGCGGAACCCATGTTGGGTAACAGTGCCTCTTTTGAAGATTCATTCATCACCTGCCAAATGAGGACAAATTCTCACGGATCACTTCTTGATAGCCTTGCAAACATGCAGCTAGCACCACGGAGCCCCTTCTCAGGCCAGATCGTTGCTGATTAGGCTTTGTTTGCAAGGCTGACTGGGCCACTCCCTTCAAAATGCACTTTGAGCTTCGCCCGCTCCTTCGCAGAACTTTCGCGGAACTTTCGCGAAAATATCCCTATCCGCAGACCCCAGCCATCAGCAGGCGACGCATCAGAGGAAAAGCAAATGGCAGGGGCCTTGGTGTTTGGCTCTCGCAAAGCCTCACTTTTGGAAGCTTGGCTACGTTTGGAACTTGTTCTTGAGACTTCAGAAAGCAACTGGCGGGACGTCAAAACCTGGAACGAGGCGACCTTGGATGACAGTTTTTTCTTGATGGGATACGCGGTGCCCCCTGTGTATCTTGCTACGGTAGACGCGGATGCCGTTTTGGCACTGTGAAAAACCGGGGCATGCCAAAATATAATCCAGAAAAACTGTTTGTCCGTTATGAGTCACTAGGAAGGAAGATCGGATGTTCTTGTGAAAGCAATTGAGGTCAAGGGGGGGTGATCGTGATGGTGACGACGACGGTGCAGAAGATGTCGATGGTGACTGCGGGGACGTGATGATGTTGTGGTTGACGGTGTTGACGATGTTGATGATGATGATGGTGATGATGAAGATGATGATGATGAGTGAAGATGATGATGATTATGATCAGGACGATAATGATGATGATAGAGGCTTCGGCGGCGAGGGTGTTAGCGGCAGCGCGGGCCAGTTTCACTCAGCCGCCTGCGCTTTTCCTCTGTCTTTTGGCGCCTTGCGAGGGCTGTTTCCGTGAGCTCCGTTTTATAGCGTTGGTGGGTCTCGCTTTCTGGAGCGGCCTGGTTCGCCGGACAGCGGGTCGCTGCACCCCTCACGTCATGCGTCATGTCTGTGAAGGGTGTTCACAAAGTTCAAACTGGAAGAAACGCTGGTCTTTAAGGAGCCGCAGCAGCTGAACGGTCCAGATGCCGCGTTCTGCAACTTTTGCGCGCACGGCGCCGTGACGCCATTCACCAGCGGTGCTGGCGGCTATTGAGACGCTAGTTGCAAATGCTAAGTATCGGTTATAATTATACCTATGGGCAACGATCATGATAATGTTGCGCCACGATGACAACAACTCATCGTGCGCTTCAAATTGCCGTGCAACATCTATTACAGAGAGGGTTCCCTTACCGCGCCTTTTTGGCGCTTTCTCTGTTCTCCTTTTGCTTTTTTTTGCGCGCTCCCTTCTTTCCTTCTTTTGCTTCTTCTGGCGCCTTTCTTTTTTTGAGGTGCCCAGCTCTAACTTGAGGGCGTCTTTCTCGGCGAGCGCCTCTTCGCCTTTCTCTGCAACCTCTTTGGCGGCGGCCTCTACCTCCGCAGCTTTCTTCTGCTTGGTGGCTTTCGCCTTTGCTGTCGCAGAGGCCTTCTTCTTCGCTGCCACCTTTTCCTTCGGCGACGCCCTTTTTTGCCATTCGGCCTTTGGGCGCGTCCAGCGACTTCGTCGCACTGGTACTGCGCGCGCCTGGCGTGGGAAAAGATATGGATGGACGGCATACACATGTCTTGGGGGAGGCCGCACTGTGTGGCGATTCTGAGGCCTCTTATTAATAAAACAAGGGTCTTGGCCGTAGGGATTATTTACGAAGGGGCTTAGAAACAAAAGTTATCATATCAACTCATACCAACTGGCAGTTTCATTGGCAGGGCTGTTTACGTGGGTCAGACAACCGTGCAGCGCCTCCCCCCAAAATCTTCACTCTGGTGGTGTTTTCACGTTTTTGGGCTGCGTAACACGGATAAAAACGGGGCTTGCTGCTGAGCAGGGTTTGGAAGGTCCATTGCGGGCACTTTTTGATGGATGTTTGCTGATTTTTTTTGGTGCCTGCCAAAGGCAAAAGCACTGTAAATTTACAGTGTTTTTGCCGCTTTGGCATGGAAATTAAAAGACCGGATAACCCCACAAGCCAACTTCTTCCAATAATGAGCAAGAAATGTTGTAGCAGGGACGGGGAAGGAAGGAAAGACGAAGGAGGTGGTGGAGGATCGAGAAGTAAAACAAGTTGTATGTGAAGAGTTGTGCGTGACAAAGTGGTATGTGAAAGATGGTGTGCGACGAAGAAAATGATGTATGTGTCAAAGATGGTGTGTGAAAGATCGTGTGTGTGAAAGTTGTGAGTGAAAGGTGGTGTGTGACAAAGCGGTGTGAAAGATGGTGTGTGGCAAAAGTTCATTGCTGGATAAAAAATGTAAAACGCCACAAAAGATGAAATGAGTCCAAGCTAGACACTGATATGCGGCATCACTGCGGAGTTTTCTTTGCGCCAGCGCTCCAATGTCATCTGTTTGGCATCCGATTTCTTCCCACGGTGGGTCAAAATCGAAACGGATCGATTCACGGCAGGTCTGGGTGACCGAGGCCTCGTCATGTGCAGAAGAACTCACAGCTGCAAAAGAAAAACAACTAGAACGCAGGTACAATATATCTAGACACAGAGCGCATGCATTTCAAATTCCACTCAAAGGCGTCTTCTGTTAGTGCACAACGGTGAACTCCGATGAAAGCCGCGCCTGTCCTACAGCCACGGGTCCGACGACGATGACAAATCGGAAAAGTACCTGGCCGCAAAAGTACAGAACACGTATGTAGCTGGTTGTCAATGCAACTATGGACGCAAGTACAATATATATCTAGACACAGAGCGCACGCATTTGAAATTCCAGGCGTCTTCTGTTAGTGCACAACGGCGAACTCCGATGAAAGCCCCGCCTGTCCTACAGCCACGGGTCCAACAACGATGACAAATCGGAAAAGTACCTGGCCGCAAGAGTACACAACACATATGTAAATCGTTGTCAATGCAACTATGAACACAACTACACTATATCTAGACACAGAGCGCATGCATTTCAAGTGACGACACAGTAACAGTTTCATCATGTTTCATCATCTTTCCAAAAGCAGCAAGCACCATGGTCATGACGCTAACATACGCTAACTGTGCAGACTTTTCCCACATATTTCAGCCGTTGAAGAAAGCAACCGCACGCAATGTTACTGACATTGGTTCTTTGCACGTTGCGCCAAACCATTCCAGATTCCTGCGCGTCAAGAAACGGCCCGCAATGTTACTGACATTGGTTCTTTGCACGTTGCACCAAACCATTCCGGATCACTGCGCGTTTCAATGTCATCTGCTTGGCATCCGATTTCTTTCCACGGTGGGTCAAAATCAAAACACGACACGAGCCTTCATGAGCTGAGTGTAACCAGGCATGCCTTTCGACGTTGGATCAACAATGCGTGCAGCCAAAACAGCTAAGAAAGCTTGCGCAAGGAATTGACACGCTAGCATGCTCAATCGCATCGTATATTTCCTCGAAAGCTGGCTTATTCCAAGGAGAGACCTTGCCGTCTTCCACCACAGGCACACGAAGATAAATTGGGTCATAAAGCAACTTCGCACGTAAAGCCCGTCTCTGCCCATCCGAAGACACCAGCACATGAATGTTATAGGTTGACGTAGACTCATCGGGACGAAATTCGGACAACGTCCGTTTTCCCAGTTTCACCTTGCATCGCAACATGTCATAGAGAAGCGTTGCCGAGTTTCTTGGCTAACGGACTGTCTGGGCACCGAAGGTCCACGTCTCTCAGTTGAACCTGGTCCAAATTTCGTAGCATCAGGGTCTGGAGCTCGCAGAATTCGTATAGCGGACTGGTGCCAGGCTGCGGGCTGTAAGCTGCAGAAGTGGCAGCAGCCTTACCAATGACTACACGAATGTTCACTGGAGGCGGATCGTTGCTGGTAATCATGTTTCAGAACGACTTCAGGTCCGTGCGCAGGAACGCACTGGCTGAGTCTTGGCCGCGGGAACACCATGATGTCCTTTTCGGAGAGGTGAAAACTGGCAACACCCCAGTAATGGCACCAACAACCAGATGGTATGGCATCGAGCCATGGTTGGCCCCTGAGGACGAAAAGCTCCGCGACGACGCTTCCAGCTATCACAGTGCAGCGAACGTGGTCGTCGACAGCACTTGTTGGAGGTCTGCTGGAAGGCAAAGGGCGCAAAGAGCCGAGCGGGGCAGCGACTTGGCCGAGAGCCGGCAATGGAACTTTCTGCAGCTTCTCGCAGAACTGCGCGTTTGCGTGGTAGTTCGAGAAGCACCGCAGCTTGCTCTTCCAGCGTATCTTCACTATCGGATCGGCTCAGCTCACCCGCCAACGTTGATAAAGTCGCTGCGAGGTCCCGAGAGAGCACCTGGCACAAGAATTTGAACCAGGACACACTAGACAAGAATGGATCATTTGAGTGATCCGGCAGGAACTGAATCCTGAAACATGCAGATTAGATAGGAAACAAAGAAATCAACGATGCATCTTCAAATAATAGAAGTTCTCCTGCATGGTCTCCATGTCCAAAAACGTCATCAAAATACATTGGCGACATGATATTGACGAAAAAATCAAAATACAATCGGCGATGTGGTTTCGGCGAAATGAGCAAAATACATCGGCGACATGGTTTCGGCGAAAATACAGATTGTGGCAACCGTGAAGAAATAAAATTGACTTGGAGGTTCTTGGGTTGAGCCTCTTCCCATCACCAGACATTGACAATTGAATGGAAGTAAACCCTGAACAACAGGTAGTCACAACAATGCAGGTACACCAGGGTGATCAGCCCCGGCTTCCACCATCATGCATAGCTTCGTTGGCATGCGTTTGCATGATGGCCGCACGCCCCCTGCATAAACAAAAAAACGAACAAACGTCGAAGTTTTACATCTCTACAGATGAGTCACACACACACACCCTGCCAAAGCAGGGTTTCATTTTTGGAAGAATATAGCGGTCTTACGTGTCGATGCACGAATTGTTGTGAACCTTCGAAATTGTGACTTACAAGGCTGCTGTCAGTCTATTCAGAAGTTGAGCTCGAAGCTTGCTGCAGAACTTGGATCGTGTCGTGGAAGCTCATGTGTGCCACCATTCTCCATGGGTCGCTAAGTTCCCCAGATGCCGTAGCTGCCGTCAGTGAATCCGATAACTGCCTGGCCAAAGCCGGGATAGTAGTGACATGTCCTGCTTCGTCTGGCGATGGAGTCGTCTCAATGGCTACGTTGCGAAAAGGATTGTTCCCATGTAGTAGAGGAATTTCAAAATGATGGCGCCAATAATCTGCAGTTTGCAAGGACCATTCCCAATTTCCCGAGAGGCCATAGAAGAAGTGTTCAGGATCTCGACATTTAGAAATTCCCGAAGTTGGTATCTCCTCAATAAATAGCTCACGTTCGTTGTTGGAGTGTGTAAAGATCTTGAAGTGAATCTGATGAACCACTCGTGCGGTAAAGTGTGCATGGCGGTGAGCACTGAAATGTGGAGGATCGTGTGTCGGGAAAGGAACTGCAGGTTGAGGAGGGGCTGAGCTAGGTCACTAGACGTACTCATTGGTTCCAAAGATGCCGAAGGAGTCGAGGTCGGGTTTGTAGAGGCATCGATAGTACTTGCATCGGGAACGAGTGTAGAGTGGGTTCCGCGATTCGAGGTCAAAGGCCATCCCAAGCCCGCTGAGGTTGCATCACGCTTGTTCTCCATGGGTGAAACAATAACTCAGATGAAAATTTGAGAAAACCAAAAGCTGAGGGGACGAAAAATGTGACCAACCAGGAACAACGTGGAATGACAAGGAGCATCAAAGGTAGATACGCTGCATCCGCCATTCATTGATCACAAACAGGATTCAGTTCCTAAAACCTAGAAGTCGTGCGTTGTGCCACTCCAGGCCGGTGTTCAGGTCAGCCACAATAGGCATAAACGGCTTTCAAGTTCCAGCGAATTAGGTGCACAATATGTTTGACCTCAACAGAGAACCATCAAAAGAAAGAAGACCACACCTAAAGATCGTGTACCTGCCTGCGTTCTGTCTCATGTAATGTAACTGCAAAGGTTGCTGCGAAAGAAGGAGGTTTCTGAATGTTCAGAACAGCTTCAAAGATGAAGAAATGCATCGGCGAGGAATCCCTGGGACCACAGGAGCCGCGGGACTTCGTCAAAGGCACAAAACGGTAAGGCCATCTGTTGCACATTACTTAAACGAATTACTAATTCAAAAGTGTAAATTCGGAAGTCAATTCAGTCGACATTGACCCCAACTGGGGTTGCCTCAATTGGCCCTATGGCACCATGTCGGAATGTCGGAGTCAACATAGGAATCACACTAGACAAGAACGGATCATTTGAGTGATCCGGCAGGAACTGAATCCTGAAACATGCAGATTAGATAGGAAACAAAGAAATCAACGATGCATCTTCAAATAATAGAAGTTCTCCTGCATGGTCTCCATGTCCAAAAACGTCATCAAAATACATTGGCGACATGATATTGACGAAAAAATCAAAATACAATCGGCGATGTGGTTTCGGCGAAATGAGCAAAATACATCGGCGACATGGTTTCGGCGAAAATACAGATTGTGGCAACCGTGAAGAAATAAAATTGACTTGGAGGTTCTTGGGTTGAGCCCATCACCAGACATTGACAATTGAATGGAAGTAAACCCTGAACAACAGGTAGTCACAACAATGCAGGTACACCAGGGTGATCAGCCCCGGCTTCCACCATCATGCATAGCTTCGTTGGCATGCGTTTGCATGATGGCCGCATGCCCCCTGCATAAACAAAAAACGAACAAACGTCGAAGTTTTACATCTCTACAGATGCGTCACACACACACACGTGTGGCACAACAGAGCACATGCATCGAAAAGGTATGACAAAGATCACGCCGGAACCTTTATCGGACGTCCGCTGCCAGCGGCGCTGGCAGGGCGAATCTTGTCATTGCGTGGGAGAGCCATGGTGTGGTATTGGACCCTCACAGAAGACAATGTTCAACGAATGCAAGTGCCTCTTTTTATTCAACGAATGCAAGTGACTGTTTTGAGACGTTGGCGTGGTGATGGTATGATTTGTCATGTGCCGAAGAACTCACAGCTGCAAAAGAACAATGTGCAGGGTTCCAAGATGCCATGTAGAAACATCAAAGCATGTCACTTACAGCGGTGGCTGCACAAAACGAGAAGGTCACTGCTGTAGTAAGAAAATGTAAAACGCCACAAAAGATGAAATGAGTTCAAGCTAGGCACTGACATGCGGCATCACTGCAGACCTGCTTTTTTGGCCAGCGCTCCAATGTCATCTGCTTGGCATTCGATTTCTTCCCACACTGGGTCAAAATCGAGACTCGTCGCTGCAATTGGCGGAATGAAGTTTGCCAGGATCTTCTGTGTTGCATTGCTGACCCTCATCTCCAGTGGTGCACTGGTGTAGGAGTTCCAAAGGAAGATTATTCATGCGCCAGAGTTCCGTATGCAGGTTCTTCAAGATATCAATGCAAACGTCCACGCAGAAGCGTCACTCGATACTGTAGTAGGTCTGCACAGCTACTGTATTACGAGAAGCAGCACCTGCGAGAACGCAGCCCACAGGGCAGCGAAACGGCAGCTGTCGTTTCCGTGCTCTCTGGTCTGCGATCTCGAAGGTAATGCTTCTGGTGGAAGGTAATATGTCTGTTTCTGTCGCACTGTGCAATATGTTCAATTTCTGTGTTGTCATGTGGGGCCAAAGGCGACTACACCAGAGATAGATGACCAAGTGACGAAGCATCGTGAACATGTTGGCTCCTGCAGATTTGCCTTGATGTTTCAGCTAACATGGCATAACCACTAGTACTGAGCCACTAGTACCGAGCCAAAAGCATCTTCGAGTGCAGCATCTCTGCGCCACGGTGTCACGATGCAAACAAAGCACAGATATGTAAGAAAGAATATGCCATATTCTGAACTGCACTGAGATGTTCCATGTTTTGCAGCCACTGTTGTGCGCATGCAGGACAGTTCTGGCACAAGCAAGTTCCAATGTGCTCGCTTTCTAACAAATCTACGAGAGTTTGCAAACGACTGCAAACGGCGAACTCCGATGAACGCCGCGCCTGCCCTACAGCCACAGGCCCGACGATGGAAGATCGGAAAAGTACCTGGCCGCAATCGCAAGAGTACACAACACGTATGTAGCTGGTTGTCAATGCAACTATGGCATAACTATGAACGCAACTATCAAACGGTTCTGCCGCACGTGTTTTAGCTGTGCGAGTGGTCAAAATCTTGACAAGGCCTGTAGCATTTCTTCCCACAGTGGGGCAAAATCGACACATGTCACGAGCTTTTATGAATTGGCCGTCGCGACTCCGGTCTTCTCACATTGAGTCGGGCAGCTGACACAAAATGCGATGGCCGACGTCACTCATGTCTTCCCACATTGAGTCAACCATCAATCGGGCAGCTCATAAAAGATTCGCTGGCCGCCACCACTCATGTCTTCCCACATTGAGTCAACAATGAGTGCAGCTAGCGCGCAAAGACTTCAATCTAGCTACGCAGTACGGCGCAGGACTACACACTCAGGCACCGTCCTCCGCCATCGTTGTCTCTTCCGGCGTTTGCTTGACGACGCTGGCGAGTCGTTTCATTGGTGTCCATGCCTGGTCATATGTGATGGTCTTTGGGGCACTCACCTCTGATTTTGGTACAGCTGCATCAGAAATCGTGTGGCCCCTTCCACACGGTGTGCATCGACCGGCACGTGCCAGAGCAAGCTCCACTCGCCATCTTCCTCGGTGTGGGCCAAGACGACCAAGTGCGCTTCGCCCGCACGGCCTTGCAACATCCAATTGACTGCCGAAGCGGGACCAGCGCTCCGCAGCTTTGCCCGGTGCGTCACGCTTGTCTCGGTGGCGCCAGATAGCAGGCAATCCACGGATCTCTTCACCCGCATCGTCGAGATGGCTGTGTTGTCTTGCTGGAGAGCTTCTTCATCAGGCAGCTGCACGTCATTGAAGGCCACCAGAGCTCGCACGAAACTAGCTTCCACTTCACCAACACAAATCAACCCCAACTGGACATCGACCTGCAGCATGTTCAAAGGTGCCACGGGACAGCCAGTGTCCAACTGGCAGTGCGGGACTTTCCGCTGCAGCGCGCCGAACTTGACGACAGCGCCAGCTCCGCTGGCCCGCCAACACGGCTGCAGATGACGGCACTCCAACTCCAGAGTTAGTGAATCTGCAAAGCCACTGGGCCCCCCGGAACAAGTCCCGGAGCTGCAGGCGCACTGCCGGGGTGTCGTGCACTACTAACGGCATTGAGATGATTTCGGCAAATCTTCGAGTTTGAATTCACCTTGTTTTTTCTGTTTTTCAAATTTTGGTTAAAATAAGCATTTCTTAATTGCAAACAATCATTTCCTAATGACATCTTGGTTTCAAGAGCCACACTTCAAAAAACACAAAGAATTTAAGGGGATACATTCAGCGGGTCGCGGAAACCTTTTCCACAAAATTTGAAGTTCCTATTTCCTTGGCTGGCGGCCGACAGTCTGGGCCCAAATCAAAGGTGTCGTTTTTCAGTTTACGGATAGCCAAGTTGCAGTTACAAAAACTGAACGGGTTGAAAACACATCCAGTTTTTTGAAAAAATGAAAGTTACATGACTTTTCCGTGTTTCTGAAAATTTGGAAGTCAAACCATGTCAAACCTGATTAGATAAAAATTCTCACATGACACTCAGCGCACAGGTTCCAAACCAGCAAACACAGGCTTGGAGTTAGAGGATTTCATCCAAAACCTGATGTTGTTATCACTCTAGACTACGGGTTGAAGTGATTTTGGCAAAACTTTCAAATAGAATGTCTCTTTTGATACGTGGGATGAAGATTTGGTGCAAGAAACACTGAACAACCTCTGCTGCGTTAAAAAACTATGTTTGGTATGTTTGGTGATTTTTCTACAGTGCGTGCATTTCGTCAGACTTATGTATCACGGTCCCTGTATACACCTTCCTCGACCAGAAAACACAAAATGCGGGAATTGGACTTATGGCGGCGTGGAGCCTGTGGGACTTGATTTTGATAGGGTACGTTGCAGATTGGCCACCTCAACCTGAAAAACCCTGCAGTTGAGCCCCCTGTTCTCTGTACAACAAAAGTTTTTGTGTTTTTCACTATCCTTTGCAACGCCTATGATTGAAAAGCATCAATAGCAATTTTGCTGTGCAGTTGCGTTTTCTTTCTTCAAGGTAGCTAGGACTCGGGATTGAAGCAATGTCATGTTCAATTTTGGCTTTTGAACACGCTTGATAATTGGACAACACTTGGCCCCTCAGTTCCAAATCTGCTGGTTGCCCCTGATCCAGCGTCCCGGGGTATCTTCACCTTTCGATACCTACCGTGACCCAAACAAGGTACAGTACAGTAACAATGGGCCGGTTTTCAAAACAAGGAACATGCTTTCTCGAAGAATATCTTGCAATTTTCCCCTTATACAGCAACAACATCTACCACAAAAACCACCCAAGGCTACGGGCAAAAACAATACAGCGGTAAATAGACATTCTGGCCAAACAACCAAAACACGGAATTCGGTTGGGGTGACTAACCAAACATCATCCTGAGACAAACAAACCGGTCACAAAACACTATATATTGGTATTGTGTTTCCTTGATTGAAAAGGTTTCTCTGGACATACTACCTAAGTTGCAAATGCAGGTAACATAAAGACAGGAGCTAGTAAGACTACAGGGCATGCTTTCTTCCTGCTTCAAGGTAGTTCATTGCAAGAAAAAACCGCAGACATGTATGTTTATATGAATGTAAATGATTTTATATTTAAATCTAATATACATATTAGAACATGTAGCTATGCACACAGCTTCTACAACGGTATTTTAATGTGCATGCGTAATCAGTCAAAGTCTAGTGCGACAGCGGAACAAGGTTGAAAAGATCTGTGCACCCAGCAAATCCAGGTGACAATAGGGATACCGCCCAATGAAACACATTTTTTCCAATTTTTCAATATCAATAGCATTCCAACCAAAATTTCTGAAAAGATATCTTGCGACAAACAATGCCATATCAAACCCGCAACAAAAATCTGAAGACATGCAAAACCCAATAGGGGTAAACATGGCATGTGAGGAAGTGTGCATGCTTGAAAATGCGCGACAGCAGGTGCACACACGTGCAGGCTTTCCGGGCTGGAAGCAAAAAACATGTTTTGTTTTTGTTGGGCATCATTTGCTACCTGTTAACAGGTCGACGTCCATGCCCACGATCGTTCTTTTTCAGCAACTATACAATTCAATAAATCTTTCTGACATCAATTTTCTGTGCACCTCGTCCTCAGGCTTGTGGAAAAACAAACCAGGCATTTGCGCAATCTTCGCAATAGTTCGCACAATGGTTCGCGCAATGTTTCTTACAAGGGTTCGTACAATGGTTCGTACAATGGTTCGTACAATGAGAAAAAAGTTCGTACAATGTTCGTACAATGCCCTACTAAAGTTCGTACAATATTGTACAATTTTTTTGGCCATTGTACGAACTGCTTGGCCATTATACGAACTTTTTTGCCATCGTGGCATTTTTGGCCGTTTTTTGAATTTTGTGCTGGCAACGTACGAAGACGTAGTCTAATTCTGAAGCTATAACGCCGCGCCAAAAAGACAAACGGAACTGACTGTGCAAACAACCCAAACAGTTCATTTTGTTTGATTCTGTCCTATGCGGCCATACTGACTTTCAAGAAAACACCTGTATTGTTGTCCTGGGTTTGCTGGCCATTGCAAGCGCGCCGTCCTAAGGGCTACTGTACGGGTTGATGCCATTGCGCATCCAAGAGAAGTAGGTGACTAAGCATTGTAAGGAACTTAAACGCAAACATCGTTTTCTTTTGGATATGCAATTTGAGATCATTGACTATGTGCAATTTCCTTGCAAAGGCCACACCTTTTGTTGTGAGGCATTGGCGCGGCTGAAAGTTCAAGAATTGCGACTTTAAATTCTAAAAGTTTTTTTTGCAGAAGTCAATGACTGACAATTCCTCGCATGGCCCGGACTTATTTACATGTCAACGTCGTGAGACTCATGAAGGAACGGTTGGCTACATCCTGGCTACAGGTGTTCGAACCATACCAATTCAAGTATGCTCTGCACAAATGGCACCAGTTTTATGAAAATCATTGATGACAAAGGCATGTTTCGACTGAATGTGCAAAAATTGGTCCGGCTGAGCGCGTATATTGTACAGTTGAAATCATCCTCCGCATGTTTCGCCCAGCAGTTCTGTAGCCGAAACAAGCACACGCAGGAATGTTTGACTGCATGCAGGTACGGGTATGTGTGTACATGATAGACTTACATATGTTTGTATTTGCATGTGATGCGTGTGTGCGTGTATCAGTCTTGAAATTCAGATGCTTTCATCTAATGTCCATGTTCAAGCCCAGTACTCTAGCGATAGAGCAACTTCGAACAGTCTTGTGTAATAAATTTTGTTTATGCGCCACTCTGCGCGTGAAAAGTCATTGAAGAGAAAACCTCCAAGTTCAAGGACGGAGTGATTTCAAACAGCTCGGTGGGTTACGGGCTGCCGCATGGCAACCCACATAGTTTTTTCCAAAATTTCACTTTATTCACCCAGACATGTTCAAACGCAATTTATAGTGACGGACAATCACTTAGAACGTAATTTTTTTTCCAATTTTTTTTTTCGTACTTAGAACGTAGCAAAATTTCATCACTTAGAACGTAGGGAAAATTCATCACTTAGAACGTCAAAATATCACTTAGGCCCATTTATCACTTAGAACGTAAACCAACACTTAGAACGTGCTAAGTGATTGTCCGCCACTATAATTATGAACAATTACCATATGACGTGACATAGACACGTTCTAAGTGTATGGTTTTCGACGTTCTAAGTGTTAAATCAGTGACCTAGACACGTTCTAAGTGTTAAATCCCCGGTACGTTCTAAGTGATGAATCTTGATATTTGGACGTTCTAAGTGTATGGTTTTCGACGTTCTAAGTGCAAGGCTTAGAACGTAAAAAAAGCAGTAATATTCAGAAAATTTTTTCCAAAATACGTTCTAAGTGATTGTCCGTCACTATAATTGAGTTTGCACAATCCAACGCTGGAGTTTGGTGCGGGTAAGTGCGAGAAGAGTTTGTTCTTGGAACTCTTCTACAGCCGATTTTGATCCAGCAGTGCCATCCTTGGCTTGGGCTTGAGGTTTTGGGGTTTAAAGCCTCGCGGGTTCTATGTTTTGATGAACGCTTGGCTCCGAGCAAATATTCCAACAAAAATTGTTTTTGTTTTAATTCCAAAGTTTTGATTGTCATTGGAACTTTGGTCCTGTCGTACTTCCGACCAGAGAAACTAGATAATTCATAATCTGAAATCTACTCAACCACGCCAATTTCACACCTGCTATTTTGGATTTGTACTTGTCCGCCGGATTTTTTTTTCATCTTGTCAGATCTGACTTCAAATTTTCAAGATGTCAAAGAAAAAATGTTATTCTTCTAGTTTCCAATGATTGGTCCTGAGACTAGTAATCAATATCACCTTGATCAGCCTTCTGCCACAGCAGCTTGGCCATCCTATTTTTTTTCTTGGCCACATCGGAAAGAAAAAATATTACATAATATTACGATTTTGACCTCCATCCTGAGCCATTGGGCCGAGCAATGCGAACCAAGATAAACACATAATTCTGACAAAAAATGAGCTGTGTTAAACAATATCGAACCACAACGCATATGTGTTTTTTAAAGCTCAGCGGAGGTTGTTCGCTGTTTCTTGCACCGGGTCATCACCCCAAGTAAAGCAACCAAAGAAACGTAACATTTCAGCGCGCATGCTACTTCAAGTCAGCTAGCCAGCCGACAGTCTTGTATATGTACTACGCGGCATGTGTTATTGACGGATTTTTTTTGTGTGGAAAGATGATTTTTGTTGCGGTATAGGCATGATATCTATTGAGACAGTTTGCGCGTTGCGTTTCCCCATGAACTGGCTGAAAAAAAATCACATTTATAGATTATGGACACAAATCAGGATTTTTTCGTTCAAAAAAAAATAATCATCAAAACATTGTTCTGAACAGTTTTTCACCTCGCGCAAACACGCAGTCGTAACCCCAAATCGGCTCAACGCCGTCAGTATCGTGCACCGTATCGGATAGCACGCAATCCATACTGGCGGCTGCTCGCAGCACCAGTTCGTGGTAAAGCACGGCGGTGCACTGGCAGTTGCAATCTGCGAGCGTGAGCCTGAGAGCGAAGCGCTTCTCGGTGCCGTCCGTGGGATGAGCCTCACAGCAAGGAGAGCGTAAATCTTGGGTGGTGTCAAAAGGTTCTTGACAACAGACGCGAAAAAAAAAACAACAACAAAGGTTGGACGCCCTTCCTCGCACGGTGCTGCCTTTTTGCATTTCACGCAGGAATCAATGAGCCACACATCCATTTCCGTCTTCACGGACGAAATGCCCAAAACTTGCAAACCTACAACTTCAAAGACCGTCTCCAACTTCCGCAATTGTCCAGGCACGATGGCTCCCACCAGAGCGCTCAAGGATGAGACGGTGGCAGGGCAACCAATCCAATCCTTCACAGGAATCTCCGTCAACATGCGGCAATTGTCTTTGTCGGCCATTTCTGCCTGCCTGCAGCAAAGTTTGTTAAGCATAGGTTGTAAAAAGCAAGCAACCAACGTGTGTGAAGTATCATACAGCCAAGACACATCGCACCTGGCGCACAGGCCGCGCAAGCTGCTGCCGGCGTAGTCTCTCCAAAACAATCAGACAAGAGGTCCCATAACAGAGAGGACGCTGACCGTTGCATCATTGCATAGTAGCCATTGATTCTGCGAGCGAACATACGCCACGAAATGACCTCCAGATACATGCGCCACAAAGCCCGAAACTGTGTAGAGGTAGTTGTTGCCCTGACAGGTAGCGACACTATAAGATTCGAACGCACAACGCAACAGTGTCACGTGACATGAATTAATATCACATGCACAAACAACTATAAACATTATCAGCATAAAAATTATACAAAACCGATTCGTGAAACCCGCGCCTCGCCAGAGGGCGGTGCCACCAACAACTGAGACCAGCTCACCCGGCCGCCATCGACGGGTGCCACTTCGAAAATTGCCACATCACTGGGTGGCCGGCATGCGGCAAAATGCTCACGCGTCAGTTCTGTAACAGTGTCGCCACACCGAGCCATTGCAATCGATGTAGGCAACAGATGCACAATATCACTTCCGTAGACACACCGTTCCAACAGCAAGCAACAAGCTTCTCCAGCATCTGCGCTTTCACCAGGTCTAAATTTTCCTTCATAGGTTGCATAAAGCTGATTCAGTAAAGCAAATGGTGCAATGTAATCCCAGTCGTTGCTTGCAAGTTTCTCTAAGACATCTCGGACCAACAGTCCCAGAATAGATTCTTCGCATTCCATCAACCGAGCAGTGAAAGCATTGTACAGCGGACGGGCCCACCGAAAACATTATGCAGCACGGCATTGAGCCAGCAGCTGTTGCCTAAATTCTTCAAGCCAGCATGCGCCGTGCCGCGCTCCAAGCCACTTGTCCATGCGAGCCGGGAGCCATAATCCAGTCTGGTATGACAATGAAGGCCCAATTCAACCATCCACTCACCTTTGCTGCGTGGTGCTAATCCTTCTACATCTTGAATCGCTGAAACCAGAAGCTGCACGCTCTTAGAAGCCACCTCAGCGTCGAAATCATCTGCGGATATCTGCGGCATTTCTCGCACGCAGTCTGGCACGTTTCTGCTGTCGCTGCAGTCCCAAAGCATCATGCATCTCAGCCAAAATGACTTCATCAAACCGAGCTTCTCGGCTACGAGTTGCGACTACATCAACAGCTTCCTGCTGCAGCCGCTCAGCCACGGTTTGTATAGCTCTTCGGTGGAGCTCTGGTGGGCAGCTTGCAATCGACCGGCATCCACTTCAGCAGCCGCCTTGGACTGCCTGGTAGGACCATTAACTTGTGTCTGGGCACCCTTCACACGAGCGCGCCACCCTGAACCATGTTTGGTGACAGTCGCCTCAGCACGCATGCCCGTAGCCTCCTGCTGCAACCGCTGGGCCACGTTCTGCACCTCTGCGCTCGAAATTTGCTGCGCTTGCTGCAGTAAGCGCGCATCCTCTTCGGCAGGTGCTTTGGACTGCCGTGTCGGACCACATACAGTTGCTTGGCTTACTTTCACTCGGGCGCGCCAATTTGAACCATTTTGGGTCACAGCCTGGAAAGGAAGCGAGCCCGATAGTCGATCAAAGACTTCTTGCAAGCGTTCACTAGACACTGCTGCAGCTGCCCCCAATTGCCGCGCATCTTTGTTTGCGGCCATTTCAGTAGCGCGCAGCGGCCCGTTGAACGTCTTGCCGTCCTTCTTGCGGCGAGCACGCCAAACATTGGAAAGTTTCTGCACCGCCATAGCTTCACAAGACGTGTGCAAATAACAAATCTAACTTGACTGACTATGGTATAACCATCGTCTGCAATTTCTGCTCCGGTCGCCTCTTTCCACGTTGGGCCAAAGCGACCAGAGCAGAAATACATGATCCGATGGCCACGAACCATCGTCTGCAATTTCTGCTCCGGTGGCCTCTTTCCACGTTGGGCCAAAGCGACCGGAGCAGAAATACATAATCTGATGACCGCGTCATTGATTGCGCTATGCAAGTGCTAGTTCAACTTGACTGACTATGCTAGAACACGCTAGGTACGCTAGATTTGTTGTCTGCAATTTCTACTTGGGCCAAAGCGACCAAAGCAGAACTAGATGATAAGAGTACCGTTTGCTTCTGCTCCGGTTAACTGTTGGCCACTCTATGATGATAGTATGCGCGCAAAAGCTTGACGCTGTTTCCATGTCAGCGCTGCTCAGCGCTGCGCAAGAGCAGTCCGGCCCTGCCTGTCGTACATCCACTGACACAACGACCACGAAGAAGAAGACAAGTACCTGGCCGGAAATATGCATGGAAATTAAACAGACCGAAAGAATAAACATGCCGAAGAAGAAGATGGTTAAACCTGCCGGAAAATAAAACATGCCGAAACAAAACATGACAAACTTAAACAGGCCGAAGGAATAAACATGCCGCAGAAGAAGATGGTTAAACGTGCCGGAAAATAAAACATTGCGAAATCAAAACATGACAAACTTAGACTTAAACAGGCCGAGAGAATAAACATGCCGAAGAAGAAGATGGTTAAACATGTCGGAAATAAAACATGCCGAAACAAAACATGACAAACTTAAATAGGCCGAAAGAATAAACATGCCGAAGAAGAAGATGGTTAAGAAAATAAAACATGCCGAAACATGACCAACTTCAACAGGCCGAACGACGAAACATTGCGCTATGCAAGTACTAGTGCAAATGGACTGACTATGCTAGAACCATCGTCTGCAATTTCTGCCCCGGTCGCCTCTTTCCGCGTTGGGCTAAAGCGACCAGAGCAGAAATACATAATCTGATGACCGCGTCATTGATTGCGCTATGCAAGTGCTAGTTCAACTTGACTGACTATGCTAGAACACGCTAGATACGCTAGATTTGTTGTCTGCAATTTCTGCTTGGGCCAAATGCGATCAAAGCAGAACTATATACATGATACGAGTCCGAGTACCGTGAAAGATGGTGTGTGAAAGATGGTGTGTGTGTGTGTGTGTGACCAAGTTGTGTGTGAAAGATGGTGTCTGACAACGATAATGTATGAAAGATGGTGTGTGACAAAGATGGTGCGTGACAGTTGTGTGTGACAAAGATAGTGTGTGAAAGATGGCGTGTGTGAAAGATGGTGTATGGCGACCAAGAGCCAGCACGATGCCATAAGTGCCACACCTGCCACGCAAAACGAAGGTGAATGTGACCAAGTGCCACACCTGCCACGCAAAACGAAGGTGGATGTCACCAAGTGCCACACCTGCCACGCCTGCCACGCCTGCCACGCCTGCCACGCAAAACGAAAATGGATGTGACCAAGTGCTACGCCTGCCACGCAGAACGCAGGTGGATGCTGCCAAGTGCCACGCGTGCCACGCAAAACGAAGGTGGATGTCGCCAAGTGCCACGCCTGACACGGAAAGTTGGGCGGCGTCACCGGCGACCAAGCCCAGAGCCATAATTGCCACGCTTGCCACGCAAAACAACCGTGGATGTCGCCACGTGCCACTCCTCCCACGCAAGTCGAAGGTGGATGTCGCCAAGTGCCATTCCTGTCATGCAAAGTGCCGCGGCGTCACCGGCGACTAAGACCGGCCCAAGCGCGCCACCAGAGCCAGCCCAGTGCCATAAGTGCCACGCTTGCCAAGCAAAACGAAGGTGAATGTGACCAAGTGCCACGCCTGCCACGCAAAACGAAGGTGAATGTCACCAAGCGGCACGCCTGCCACGCAAAGTTTACCACTGCGTTCCATTTGCAAAGGGAAAGGGAAAGGGAGGAGGGAAAGGAGAAAGGAGAAAAAGAAAGGGAAAGGAGAAAGGGAAAAGGGAAAGGGAGAAAGGGAAAGGAAAAGGGGGAAGGGAATGAGAAAGGGAAAGGAGAAAGGGGAAATGAGGAAAGGACCACCAGAGCCAGCCCAGTGCCATAAGTGCCACAACTGCCACGCGAAACGACGCTGGATGTCGCCACGTGCCACGCCTGCCACGCGATGTCGCAAGTGCCGCGCCTGTCACGCAAAGTGCCGCGGCGTCACCGGCGACTAAAACCGGCCAAAGCCCGCCACCAGAGCCAGCCCAGTGCCATAAGTGCCACGCTTGCCAAGCAAAACGAAGGTGGATGTGACCAAGTGCCACGCCTGCCACGCAAAACTTAGGTGAATGTCACCAAGCGGCACGCCTGCCACGCAAAGTTTAGCACCGCGTTCCATTTGCAAAGGGGAAAGGGAAAGGGAGGAGGGAAAGGAGAAAGGAGAAAGGAGAAAGGAGAAAGGAGAAAGGAAAAAGGAGAAAAAGAAAGGGAAAGGAGAAAGGGAAAAGAGAAAGGGAGAAAGGGAAAGGAAAAGGGGGAAGGGAATGAGAAAGGGAAAGGAGAAAGGGGAAATGAGGAAAGGACCACCAGAGCCAGCCCAGTGCCATAAGTGCCACAACTGCCACGCGAAACGACGCTGGATGTCGCCACGTGCCACGCCTGCCACGCGATGTCGCCAAGTGCCGCGCCTGTCACGCAAAGTGCCGCGGCGTCACCGGCGACTAAACCCGGCCAAAGCCCGCCACTAGAGCCAGCCCAGTGCCATAAGTGCCATGCCGGCCACACAAAACGAAGGTGCATGTGACCAAGTGCCACACCTGCCAGGCAAAACGTGGATGTCACCAAGTGCCACGCCTGCCACGCAAAGTGCCGCGGCGTCACCAGCGACTAAAACCGGCCCCAAGCGCGCCACCAGAGCCAGCCCAATGCCATAAGCGCCACTCCTGCCACGCAAAACGAAGGTGCCTGTGACCAAGTGCCACGCCTGCCACGCAAGTCGAAGGTGGATGTCGCCAAGTGCCACGCCTGCCTTCTGTGTGAAAGATAGTGTGTGACAAAAGTTATGTGTGTGACAAAGTTGTGTGTGAAAGATGATGTGTGACAAAGTTGTTGTGGGACAAAGGAAGCGGAGGCGGTGGAGGAGGCGGGATACAAAATCAAAAACGAGAACCCCATACAAAGATGTGGGGAAAAAGACATATTGTAACATGCTCAAAACTGCGTAAATACTGGTGTTTTTGCCAGGCGCTGGCCGAAAAACACTGTATACAAGTACTGTGATGTTTGCTACCGAAGGCCAAAAAACATCATAAATACTGTGGTTTTGGGCTTCCGCCGCATAACAAACATCCGGTTTTACGGTGTTTCTTGCTCCGAGAGTCTCAAAAAAAAGTAAAATGCGATCATTTAACGATTTTTGGCCACTACGAGACTGAAAAAGAAGCTACAGACTACAGAGGTTACAACAACAACAACAACAACAACAACAACAGCAACAGCAACAGCAACAGCAACAACAACAACAACAACAACAACCACAACAACAACCAACAACAGAGCAAGCGGGCGACATTCGGGGAAACAACAGCAACCCTTGGGGCATCGCGGGTGTGCGAAGCCCGACAAAATACAATAATGATTCATGATATCCAACTTTCGCGAAACTTTCACAAATAAAGATTCTATTTTCGCAGAATCGAAAATAAATAAAATCGCGAAGGTTCCCAACATAACATGAACGGTCTTCGCAATTAAAATGTGTTACTGTACAAGGACCTTTAGATCGATCACTGAACTGATATGTCATCCGACTATAATTCCTTTGATGTAGTATCTAGCTCAATTATCTAAATCTAAACATCACTATCAATTCATACAATCAATCTCTGCCCAGGACTACTTCTATTTATATAGATTGTCATGCGGCTCCAAGCATTGCACGAACGGCAAGAGAACTGCTCTAGACCAAAAGATCCACAAAGATCCAAAAAGATCCAAAAGACTAATGAACCCCTTCGACGTGCACTTGGATCTTACCCTTCCGCGGTCAAGATTTGCAGCCAACATTCCGGTTGAATCATTCAGAAGGCAATGGTGGTCATATAAATTGCAGTATCAAAAGCTGAACAACGATTAGAACAAATCTGTCGTTTCAAATACTACCGTCAAGCTTCCGTTGCGCATCTAATCCATAGAGGACAGACACCGCATGTATATCTTCGCAACCAACTCAACTACTGCTACGCATTTCAAATGAAAAGAGACTAGGGCATATCATTACATATCATGACAACCTCACATCTGTAGGTTAAAGATGCTTTGACAATCTCACATGCTGCGTATGCATTCTCTTTCATACCATTGGTTCCCAAATGTTCTTCCTTGGAGGTGGTGCTCTCAGTTCCTCCAGGTACAGTAGAGTGGAAGAGACTCTGAAACCATCCATGACCTTTCACTGGTCACCCGGGCTCCTTCTGGTGCCAGTACATCAACAAATAAGTCGCGGTCTGCATGGTATCGCACAACTCCCTTGAACCACTTCCGACTGGCAAGCAGGCATGCAAAGCTAGGCAGCCAGGCAGTACCAAACTTCTGAAATGGTGAACACTCAACACTAGCAGAGCCAGCAAGAACAGTCCCAGAAGATAGACCAGACATATCAAAGTCACCTCCAATTTTTTGCGCGGAAAGAGCAAATTTTGCCAAACAGTGAAAACAGATGAAGACAGCGCATACAAACTTGATTTGACACCACTCAGTCACAACTGCCTCGAGACACCTTCGAAGGCAGAAACGGGATCCTGGCAACAATCGATGGCCGTCTCTCCAGAAAGGATGTCCATTCCCACAGTTTACCTCTGCTTCAAACAAACCCTTCACCTCTGCTTTTCAAGCCTCATTTCCCAGATTTTCCCAGACACATCTACATTTCATCGCTAAGTTTTATCTCTTCATGTAGATTCGGTTCGATTTGCATGTCGTTTTTTAATGTTTTTTACAGAATAGGTCTCACAGATTCTCACAGTCTTTGCCAAAGCTCCACAGCTCCTGCAACTTAGAGTTGGGATATTCGATCATGGAGAGTCCCAAACGTCCATCTGCCGCAACTCTGTACACCTAATTTTTCCAAGATCCAGTATATTCATGTATATTCAAGGCTTTAAATTGCAAACAGCTGAACCGTTCCTTGACAGACTTGAAGCAAAAAGCAAACCACCAAAGCCGCATGGTTCTAAGGAATTTAAAGCATGAAAAGTTCCAAATCGCCGGGAGCTAACCCAGCGCTCGCTTTCACCAATTCGCTGCATATCATTGCAAGCAAGATGCCCAAACATCAACCTCCTGTGACGCTTGCGATTGAACACGTGTGAACCCTATGGAACTGAGTCAAACAACCTAAGGGCCTTGAGTACTTTGTGGGACTAACCCCGTTTGATGGACGAGGTCATGATTTGTTCGCGCGCTTAGTTGACACCACAAAGGAATGGATTCCCGTCTCCTGGCCCGGTTGAACTACTTCAGAGGCATCTCGCACATGACCTGAGATCGGCTAAATGAATCTTGTGAGGAAAGCCACAGAAACAACAAAGCCAAACATTCTTAGATTCTTGCTCTAGTCTATGGTTGCTTGGAAGCTGCTTCGAGGTCTTCACTCCACCATGTCCCGCAGTGGCAATGTGAACCGCAACATCTGCTGTTTGCCAAGCAGCGCTCCGCTAGTCGCGAGGTTCGCACCAGCGCAGGTCTGCTTAAGCCTGGCAAGCCCAAGTCCAAACCAAAGTCCAAACCGCAAACAAGACGCAAAAGTAGTTCGAATGCCCCAAGCATAGGTGCATGGTCAATCAGCTGCATCAGGAATAATCCTATGAGTAGTTGCAAGCAACAGACTCTCTAAGGTTTGCCTGTTGCGTGCATTTACCCCCTACGTCATGATGTCAACACGGCACGACATGCATACATGTGTACACCCAGTACCTTCTACCCAGAAGCAATGAGGTCTGCAACTTGACCAGAATATGAGCGTCCTAATTCGTACTAGTAGATTCTCAAGTACGCAAAAACCATTTCATTGGAAGTGCCTTGCACCACACAGCGTCTGAGTTGGTGTGCAATTCTCTTAGGAGGAGCATACATCCTCTTCATTTTCTGAAGTTGCTCTGGCAGGTGCTAATTCGAGGGCATTGAATGAAAAATACCTGGCACACAACTAGCAAGAAGGAAATGTAACTTCCAGTATCCTGTCTTCGGATCTTTTTGATTTTTTTCATTTTTTTTCTTAGCACATTAGCACGTGTTTTTGGACCAGGAAGCACCTATGTCGACAAAGGCACCCCATTTGCTCAGCCCTGTAACCTTCCCTCGGAGCTTTTGGCCCACAGAGGGCGTGCCCTTGGCTGGAAAGGCATAAAGTTGCTGCACAAGGAAGTCCTTCATCAACAGGAGGATATAGTGAATTAATGTGAATTAAAGATTATAGACTATTGATATCGTTAAATATCATAAATAAAGATTCAGATGATATATTCAAACATGGAAAGACATCTTGAAACGAGGTTTGCACCTCGGTGTCTCTACAGCCATATGGAAAAACAACACTACTAGTAGTATCCAAAAAATGAAGTATATTGTCTCAAAAGTTTCCTTGGAACAATTCATTTTTTGACATTTCTTCATGCATTATTGGACAGCTCAGAGCAAAAAGATTGGAATGCTGTCCAAAACGTGACAAACAAAACTGCAACCATGATGCAGCTTGTCAGCCCACCCCACAATCTTAAATCAAGAAGCGTTCGAAGGCTGGGCCGCCTGAGGCTGCAGGGTTTCCGGTTCTGAGAACGTGCTAAGGCAAGACTCATCGGGCACAGCGTCGCACAACATGTCAAGGATTGGATTCCACGAACAAAAGCCTGGAGCCGCTCAACCAACTCCGCTTTCCGACCAGTGGTCTTCTCGCCCAGTTTCTTCAACTCTTCTCTGAGCTCAGCCACCTGCCATGCAGACAAAAGGACAAAATGACAGAAAAAATGAAACGGACACAAAGAGAGTGACAAACTCTAGAGGAAATGCAAAGAAAATAAAACATGATTTTTTTAGCTCAGGCCCCACCTTCATCTTGGAATATTCCTGGGAACCGGAAGAATATTGTCCTCTTCACAGCTGTGATAGGGTCGAATGTTCGTTCTTTGGAAGATGGGCATCTTCACAGCTTTGTGAGCTCTCCAAGACCATCAAAATATATCAAAATAATCAAAAAATATCAGGCATCTGGACAGGGTCTGCGTCGGCCGCGGTGAGTGTGTCGGCCGCGGCCCGGCTGGGTGTGCGTGTCGGCCGGCGCCAAGTGCCGTGTCGGCCGGCGCCAAGGCTGTGTCGGACGGCGGCACTTGGGTCCGCCGCGGGGCTTCTGTGTTGGACAGCAGGGCGGCGCGTGCAGGGCTTCCACAAGGCAAGAAAAAAGATCCCAGAGCTAACTTAGCAAACTAAGGTCTGCGTGGGGAAACTGGCATGTCTGTGTCGGCCGCGGTGCTTCTGTGTCGGCCGCGGAGGGGCTGTGTCGGACGGCGGCGGTTGTGTCGGCCGTGGGGCTTCTGCGTACCTACAGTACCTCTACATCCAGACGTGGCATCCACTTCCAGTATCTTCCAGTCACACTCCTGCAGCACGCTCGTTGCCCTGGCCAAAAAATGCTCTAATGGCAGACGAACATTAGGCCTTGGCATACACACCTTCTATTCTCTTGCAAATCTTTCAATCACATATCAATATCGTTCATACCTACCGTATCAGTGTTATATCGGCACGTCAGGACTCACTATGCATCTCGCCAATGCACATTGCCATTGCCACATGGCACCAGGTTTCGCGCAATGCCTGGAGGCGCTGAATCAGTTCCTGCTTCTTGCCGGAGACCTGTGAGCGACTGAACCGCAAGTGACATCATGTCACAAGATCTCACAAGCTGCCGGAAACATGAGGATTCAGTCAGGATGTTGCAAAGTTGGCAAAGAGGCGCCATTATTCGGTCTTGGCAAAGTGTATCTACAATTCGGTCTTGGATCTGGTGATTTTGGGGTCCCATCTAGGGTCTCAAGCCTTAAGTCCTCTCTTCCTCAGCTGCTCTTTGATCTCCACCACGGTTAACTTTGTCAAATCAATGTCCTTCAAACGCACGATCTTCTTCCATCTTCTTACACCACGCAAACGCCACACAAAACTCTACTATAGTGATGTGTGGCGGAAGTGCCTTGTGATTTCTCAAAATGATTGCCTTCTATCTCGAGAGACTGCATCTCAAGTTCCACAGGTCTATCCCCTTCAAAATACCATATCATCATCCAACTATTCTTTTCTTTTCCCCCCACACCTTTGTCAACTTCACTGGTTTCTGCCTCGTGAACTTTTCCGTTGGAAAACCCTGCTTCAGCCGTCTTTCCATTGGCAAGGCCAGCTTCAGTTGTCTTTCCACTGGCAAGCTCTGCTTTAGCTGTCTTACGGCTGTTGGCCTGGGTAGAAAGAAGGCTGGGAGGTTGGTTGGAAGGTGGCTTTAGCATTTGAAAATCCTGATGGGAGATTCACGTGCCGGCAGGTGTTCATAGTAAGTATACCACCAGGGAGAAAGTGGGAAGTGGTCCAAAGTCCAAAGGTGTGAATGTCCCAAAATGGTGGCTACTCGAAGCAATTTTGGATTTGCTACAGCAAACTACACATGTCAATCGTCAAAACAAGTGTAGATGATGATATGGTATGGTCATCCATCCCATAATCTGAATCCATGGGTGTACAAATCTCTATACTATTAATGGATTGGTGGCCATCCGCCAAAATGGAACATTTACCAAAGTTTCAGCCATAGCACACGTGGTATAGCTTTCAACGTGCCAGCGCCTGCAGCTCCTTCAGCTTTCGACGTTCGGCTTCAGCTCTTCTCTTAGCTTCTTCCCGAGCCTCCATTTGATGTGCCCTCACCAATTCCAAAAATGCACTCCGGCCATTTCACAAAGTATCAAACAAATCTAGAAAGTGTTTCTGACGAAGCATCAAAAATCGTCCTTTTCCGGCTCTGTTTTTCTACCTCAAAAATTGGTTCCCAGAAACAGTTGCTGCATCCTGGTACAGTACCATCTCCCGACCTGTGCAGCTTTCATTCGCTTCGCCTCGCGCTCAGGGTCCACACCTTTTTTTCGCCGCTTCGCAGGCGCCCTTGGCACCGCCGGCGCTGCAGCATTCGCCCGAGACCTCAGCTCTTGAAGGTCTTGGCGCGATGTCACCAGATGTATTGCAGCCATTTGCAGCCCATAGCCGCCATAGCCGTCATAGGATGAGTCAGGACATGTCAGGACAAGCAGCTTAACCACCGGAGGCTCTTTCAAAGGCACCTGATTGTCGAATCCAGCAACTGACGAATCATTTCGGTCAAGATCTTCAGGCGCAAGCATTCTTTCTTCCATTCTTCAGGAGCATTCAGGAGCAGCGACTTTAGTGTTGTGGTGACAATCTTTCAACATTCAGCACCATCAGAAATTTGGACTGGGCTCCTGGCATCTGGGAGAGGATCAAGGCCCTGCACCGAAGAGCATGGATTCAAGAAAAGTGGGGCAAACGAAGTTCCGTCCTTTTCAAATGAACGTCCATGACATCATGACATGATAATCTTGCGGTGAAATGCAGTAAGAACAGGGGGAGAGAGAGAGAGAGAGGGGGGGGGAAAAAAAGAGAAGAGACAGACACAGCGGTCACTTCTCAGATTGGGCGCCCGAGCTGCCAGCTTCCTCTTCTCGTTTTCGGCCTTCCTTTTGGCCAGCTCTCGCTTCTGCGCAGGTGTCACAAAAAGTGAATTTGAATGAGTCCGTGTGAAATGCGATGTGAAGGCCCAAGAGTGCCCAAGGTTTAATGAAGACGGACTTGAGTCCAAGTGGACTTGAGGAACCTGATGGGAAACATGACTCACTGCGATCTGCGTGTTTTTATGCCCATCCGAAAGGAGCACAGCCATCCTGGATGCCTGGCTTGATGCATTGCAGTCTGACTATTGAATGTCTAGTTGCAGATGTGTCATCAATTCTTTTAGCCAGATATTTAGCCAGTTTGTATGAAGTCGGTCACTAACATCTTGTGTTTCACTGCTAATTGTCCAGGTACCTATGTCACCCATTGCTACTCCTTTGATGGAAAAGCAATCTGCCATAATCATCCATCTGCCAAAAGGGACGGCTGACACCCGACAGATCCCAGATGCCAAGTCAGTGCCTCTGCAGCAGCCCGGCGCTTCGCTTCGCGCTCAGGATCTACCTGCTTCTTCTTTGCCCGCAGCGGGGCGGCTGCGCGGATAGAACGATGCAATCCCTGGCCACGCGACCTTTGGGGCCTCAGGCATCAGTGTCATCGTCTGTTTGTGGTCACACATTCTTGAGCATTGCAGAGCCAGCTTTGTACATACACCATGTCCATCCAAACTCTCTGACTCTCTGACGTTGGTGACTCTCTGACTCTCTCTGACTCTCTCTGACTCTCTCTGACTCTCTCTCTCGAGCAGTTTCCATGTTGCTGTCAGTTCAAGCATCAAAGCTCAGCCATGTGACGGCTGCCAGCCAAGAGCTCCTCCACCAGAAAAGCACTGTTTGACATGTTTGACATGTGCATCACACAAACCACCAGCTTTCAAAATGCCAGTCACGCAGTTCCTTTCAACTCAACTTGTGTTGCAAGCTTGTTTTTACTCTACAACAAGTACTGTAAGCTGTGTGGAACAAAGCAGATTGAGTGAAGGAAGCTCAAAATCTCTTCAGGCGCTTTGAAATATAGAGTCTACAGTATGGGCCCTATGGGAAGCAAGCTGAAATCGAAGAATGCCATGTGCAGTCCAGCGCATTAAAGTCTCCAAAAAAAACTCAAAAAATGGGTGTATCCAAGCACAGCCTTTCAGAAGAGCCATTGGATGCTAGTCGCCTGCTATTCTGCCGAGTCCATTTGACGCGCCAATGCAGAAGCCAAGGATGGATAGGGAATACACACCTCAGCAATTTTATCAACAGCTTCGCAAATGCGACAGAGGGGTCCAAGGACAAGTTCTGACCTTATCCGACCTTCCTTCAAATTCCAAACTGTTTTTTTTGTGTACATTCTGTCTACGTCCAGCTTTCTGGACTATTAAACATCTATATGATCTTTGCAGCCCAGCAGCTCAAGACCAGCGCAGTCAAGAGTCCTGCCCAAATGGATTTCAACACAAGTCCCAAATCTCTTTGTAGTTTGGTAAGGCAGCTCTCCAAGCTATACATACCCTGCTTCCGAACGAAACACCAAGTCATGTCTGAATTGTGTCTACACGAGTCCTGAAGTTGTCAGGTTGTGGGTTGTGGGTTGGCCCTTCACTTTGCACGTATGCCGATGTAGCTTTCATTCTCTGCAGACTACCCACAGCAAAATCGGAAACTGTCCCCACCAAGAGCGGCACCTACGGAAAATCGGGCATCTCGCAGACCGCGGCGCGTGCCCATGTTGCACGAAAATCAAAGCAAGAAATCACAACGCGAAAGAATGGCCGTGCTGAGATTTGACCAACTCACTGTCAAAACACCGAGTGACTTGTGAGTGATGTGAGTGCGTCAGGGCTCTACAAGATTGCACTCTAAGCCTGCGATGTATCCCAGCAAAACGTTGAATTCTACAGAGCTTCAATGACGGACTTCAAAGGCAACAGGTTCACCAACTCATACGATTCATTGGGAATTTGAAGCTTGCAAAATATGATCAGGTGGTTCTGCCTCGAATTTGAGCCCGAGTTGACGCAATCATCACGAACAGGTGTCCCGTGTGTTTTCCAAAGGCATTTTTCACAAAGGCTGCACAAGCACTGAGTTTCCCAACTGGGACAAGGTTCCAGTCCGCCTTACCCTGTATTTGGGCATGACCTTAGGCAAAAAACAATCATCTCAGCAGTTCCCCTGCGTTGCTTTCAGTGCTGCCATCTTGCACTGGTGTCGTTCAAGATTTTTATTCCAGCTTACAAACTGTTTCCGGTTTCATTCGAACGTGTGGAAATGCTTGCGACCATCACCTTCATTCAATGTAAATCGTACAATGACGAGTGCAATTTGACCCGTGGTTTCAACAGTTGCAACTGGTTCGGGTCTCAGGCGGTGATTTGACCGCCACCGGAGTTGGTGAATGGTGTGATCTCCAAGACCTGGAGCCATGACAGAAACAAACTGATCTTTAAGCAAATGCAGCAAGGGGATGGACTCCGCCAGATTTCGAGCCTGAAAAACAAGATCCAAAAATTTCCCACCACAAAAAAAACAACACAACACTCTACTCCTCACTCCCAAAGAAGTCAGCTGGTACCCCAAGCGCGACAAATGCAATGTGTTCTTGTTCAGGTTTGTTGCGGTTGGGGCAAGGTACTACCAGTGGCAAAGCTATCGCAGATGCCAGGGCGCAATGGACAAGAGGGAACCAATCGCAACACAAATCTAAAGATGATAGTGCTGTTTTCAATTTTGAAGTTTTGGATTTTTAACCTGAGAAGGGGGGAATGAAAGCTAGAAAACCAGCTCTCATAGTGAAAACCCGTGCGCACAGCAAATTGCCTGCGTGTAAGACCTGCTGTAGCGTAGCCCTAACTGCATTAAAAAAAATTGAGGCAGACATCCTGAAACTCTGCTGGCGGCTTACGTGTCCTCAGCCCCTCGAGCATATATTTGTTTCCATCTAATTGCTTAACTGGCGAGAAACCGGACTGAGGAGAATCGATACCCTACTGCAGCAAATTTCCTGCGCACAACACCTTCAAAATTGGAGTTCCTCTGCTGGAGCAAACCCGTAAGCATCACGACTGAGAGCATTAAACTTCCTGCGCAGAACACGTTCAAAATTGGAGTTCTCCAGTTGCGAACATCACGACTCCGCGTAACACCTTCAAAATTGGAGTTCTCCAGTGGTCGCCTTCCTGAAACTCTGTTGGTTTTAAGCAGCATGTCTCGATGAATCGATTTTTCTGACTGGCTACTTGGCTCACCCAGGAAAGCCCAGACCGAGGGGGAATCGATACCCTACTGCAGCATATGTCTAGCGCGTAACACCTTCAAAATTGGAGCTCTTAAAAGGAACACGCCGTTCTTGGCTTAACATAAGCTCAGCATGGTCCGAGTATGGCCCAAACATAGCCTCCGAGAGCCTAACATGGATCAACATAGACCCAACATAGGCTCCATATACGCCCAACATGGTCCCGACATGATCCAAAAACGACGTGTTCCTTTTGGGCCGGGTAAAGGCTTAAAAGGAACACGCCGTTCTTGGCTTAACATAAGCTCAGCATGGTCCGAGTATGGCCCAAACATAGCCTCCGAGAGCCTAACATGGATCAACATAGACCCAACATAGGCTCCATATACGCCCAACATGGTCCCGACATCATCCAAAAATGACGTGCTCCTTTTGGCCCGGGTAAAGGCTTAAAAGGAACACGCTGTTCTTGGCTTAACATAATCTCAACATGGCTCGAACATGGCCCCAACATAGCCCCAAGAGCCTAACATGGATCAACATAGGCCCAACATAGGCTCCATATACGCAGGTGAGCCTCTCAGGTGGCACGGCCACGTGCAGCATGGCAATGGAGGTAGTCACAACGTCACAAGGTGTGCTAGTGCTGCTGACTACTGCCACTATGCGTGCAACAGTAAGTCAGAAAATACGTCAGAAGAATTTATCAGTCTATAGCAATCCATCTGTCTACCACCCTATCAATCTATCTCTCACTCTATCCACCGGTCCATGTCCCCATCTCACATTAAGGACGCTAGCTGTCATCCGCTTGTAGCCAAATAGAGATGAAGTGACGATCTACTTTCAGCACAGGCATAGCTGTATGTCAGGTTCTCATTGCAGCCTGCTACCGACAAAGCTTCCATGACCTGTAGCCATCTAGCTATCTATCTAGCAACCTATCTGTCCAGCCTTCCATCAAGCCATCCACGCACCGCATCAACCTAACTTTCACTTTCTCTCTCTCTCTCTCTCTCTCTGTCTCTGTCTCTGTCTCTGTCTCTGTCTCTCTCTCTTGCTCTCTGTCTCTCTCTCTCTCTCTCTCTGTCTCTCTGTCTCTCTCTCTCTCTCTCTATCTTGCTCTCTCTCTTTCTCCATGCCCCCATCCCTGCATCTACGTAGCCATGCGAAGCTCGCTGCCAACAATTCATGCTATCATGTGGTGCTTCTGGCCCTATTCGGCAATCTGTCTCTCGATCTCTTCATGCATCCCTCAAGTAAACTATGTATCTATCTATCTAGCACGGTATCTACCTATGGGGCTCCCCACACCTTGCAGGCTCCTGCTGCTGGAAACAACTGCTTTGGACGTTGCTTTTGGCTGCTTTGGAGGCTATCCATCTATCCGCATATCTATCTACCTATCTGTCTATCTATCTGCCTATCTATCTATCTGTCGGTCTATCTATCTATCGATCTTCGATCTAAAGATCTATCCATCTATCTGTCTATCTATCTATCTATCTATCTGTCGGTCTGTCTTTCTATCTATCTCTCTATCTATCTATCTATCTATCTATCTATCTATCTATCTATCTATCTATCTACCTTTCTATCTATCTATCTATCTATCTATCCATCCATCTATCTATCTATCTCTCTCTCTCTATCTCTATCTATCTAGTTATCTAGCTATCTAGCTATCTAGCTATCTATATATCTATCTATCTATCCATCAATCTCTCTTTCTCTATCTCTCTACCTATCAGTCTATCTCTCTATCTATCCATCGATCTATCTCAGTCTCGGTCCGCACATAATCTATATTTGTCTGCTTCTCCTCTATCCGTCTGTCTATCTATTCTATCTATTTTTCTACTCTCCATCTATCTGTAAACTTAATCTATTTTTCTACTCTCCATCTATCTTAAAACCTATTGACGTCTCCAAGCTTATCTCTCTGTCCATACATACTTCCTGCCTAGGCGCAATACGGTTCCAAGATGACCTAAAAGCGGCGTGTTCATTTTGGGCATAACATGCCCCAAAAGGAACACGCCGTTCTTGGTCGAACGTCAGCACAATCTGCTCTCTTTGTCTACCCGGTTACCCCCAATAATCGCGGACCAGGCGGGCCCCATAATCATGGACCAGGGGGGAATCGACACCCCACAGTCACCCATTTGCCACCTGGTATGTAACCCTGCAGGGCTTGGATCCTATGTGGATATAGCATCAGTATTGAGCACATTTACATACGCTGTCAAGGCTCAAGAGAGATATAGAGTAATCCTGTGGACACCGCACCAACTGGCTATTGGCCGAATATAAAAGGTGCGAAGCTGTCTTGGGAAGACGCTCTAGCTGATCTAACCTGGACGCTGGGTGCCCCTCTTCAAGTGGTAGCGGAGCTGTGATCCTTCATTGAAGGTGAGCTCCAGGTAGAGCCCGATATGGCACGCCATGGCTTTGATGATGATGACTTCGACATTGTCGATGCAGATGGATGGAATCCATATGACTCTTATGCAATGAGAAGAGCAAGCACCCCAACAACCCTCAATCCATATGACACAGCAGATGACCACGAAGGTAGCCCCTGCATATGATGGGAGAACCAGTTTCTTTGCCTTTGAAGATGCAATCGATGACTGGTGTGACATCACAGAGCTGGAACCGGAAAACGTGGACCTGCGTTGGGGAACAGATTAGAAGGTGAAGCGCAACAGTACAAGAGATTACTGGATTGAGAAATGCTAAGGCATCCTAACGATGGTGTCAACTATGCCCAGAACGTGTTCTTATACCGTTTCATGCGCTCATGAAGTACAACAGAGGAACCATGGATCTTCAAAAATGGATGACCAGATTTCAACTGACTGGAAACAGACTTATTGAGTCTTGGATGGATCTACTACCAGATTTGTTGACTACTAGCACAGAAGCAATCCTGTTTGTTGCACGACGTCGACAAGAACATGAAGATCATCAAGCTGAACTTGCAGGCCCTGCAGCAGCAACACCAGGACAGGAACCACATGTCAATGTACCATGGACAGATGAACATGCTTTGATGGCATTCAGACAACTCAATGAAAACAGACGACAACAGCAGAGAATGGCATTTCCCTTGGGTGACAACTTGCTGGCATTGATCTGTGTAAGTCTAGCAGATCTGACGCCAGATCAGAGAAACACACTCACGAGTATCATGACACATCGTGGACGAACACTTGACCAGTACAATGTGCAAGAACTCAGAGACCTTTTCCTGGAAATGTTTTGCACGACAAAGAGAGCAGTAGACAATACTATGATGCAACCCTCTGGCATTGGACAGAGAAGATCGTTCCTCGTTCTGGAAGAAGGAGAATTAGAAGGAACCGACGGCTATTGGGCAGAAGATGATGAAGACGGCGCAGAAGGATTCCTGGATGCTTTAGAAGATGTTTTCTGGGTCTACGATGACGCTGACTACACATGGTATCAGAGAAGGTTCCAAGGAAGACAGACCAGACGAGGCAAAGGTAAAGGAAAGAGAAAAGGAAAAGGGAAAGGCAGAGGAGGACGAAGGTTCTTCAGATCAAGGAAAGGAAAAGGCCGAGGAAAAAGGAGAAAAGGCCGCTCCCGCATGGCGAGTGAAGAAGGATATGAAGATGAATGGAATGAAGGAGATGAGTGGAATGAATCTCATGAAGGCTATTGGGCCGATGATCTGGAATGAAGGCATGAATGATGATGGCAAAGGAGGAAAACCAGGAGATGGCAAAGGTAAGTCCAACTATGTTCAACCTCAGACCTCATCAACTCCTGCCATACAAAACCAACAGCAGCAACAAGCTCACTACTCTTCTGCAGCATCAAGCTCTGGTCATGGTTTCTTTGCAGTTGCAGAGACTGAACCAGCACGTGTGGGTGTTTTGACACCCACCTTTGCAGAACAAGAAGAACACCGACGCACTCGTCGAGGAGGACAAAACCAACGTGATGAAGTGGCACTGCTGAACAGGAAGGAAGTCAAGAGATTTCCTGTCTTAGTTGGAGATCTTGACGCACTTCGCTCAGGAGTACAACGACGACCAGCACCAGTGCCCAGAGAAGTTGGTTTGCAGCAAGGTGAGGCTTCATGGAAGCGATTGGCAAAAGGCACATCATTGTTTTCATATGGATACTCTGAAGAGACAGAGATGCCATCTC